TTACCCTAACCCTAACCCTAAGCTTAACTTAGGGTTAGGGTTGGGGTTAACTCCTGCAAAAACGATAAGCGTTGAAAATCTCAAACCAAATGGAAAAGATTAGTATCGTCGCAGACGTTCAGGGAAAAATCTTTAAAACTGGTGTAGACTAAAAAAAATATTTATTTTTGAAGTCACCCCAAGCTAACCCTAATCCTAACCCTAAGCTTAACCCTAGGGTTGGGGTTGGGGTTAACTCCTGGGAAAACGATAAGCGTTCAGAACCTGAAAGCAAATGCAAAAAAGATTAGTATCGTCGTAGACATTCAGGGAAACTTGTTTTAAACTTTTGTAGACGATAAAATTTTTAACCTGGAAGTGACCCCAAGCTTACCTAACCCTAACCCTAAGCTTAACTTAGGGTTAGGGTTGGGGTTAACTCCTGCAAAAACGATAAGCGTTGAAAATCTCAAACCAAATGGAAAAGATTAGTATCGTCGTAGACGTTCAGGAAAAAAATTTTTAAACTTTTGTAGACCAAAAAATATTTATGTTGGAAGTGACCTTAAGCTAACCCTAACCCTAACCCTAAGCTTAACCCTAGGGTTAGGGTTGGGGTTAACTCCTGGAAAAACGATAAGCATTGTGAATATGAAACCAAATGGAAAAGATTAGTATCGTCGTAGACGTTTAGGGAAAAATCTTTAAAACTGGTGTAGACAAAAAATATTTATTCTGGAAGTGACCCCAAGCTTACCTTAACCCTAACCCTAAGCTTAACCCTAGGGTTAGGGTTGGGGTTAACTCCTGGGAAAACGATAAGCGTTCAGAACCTGAAACCAAATGCAAAAGATTAGTATCGTCTTAGACGTTCAGGAAAAGTTGTTTTAAACTTTTGTAGATGATAAAGTTTTTATCCTGGAAGTGACTCCAAGCTTACCCTAACCCTAACCCTAAGCTTAACTTAGTGTTAGGGTTGGGGTTAACTCCCGCAAAAACGATAAGCGTTGAGAATCTGAAACCAAATGGAAAAGATTAGTATCGTCGTAGACGTTCAGGGAAAAATCTTTAAAACTGGTGTACACTAAAAAATATTTATTTTGGAATTCACTCCAAGCAAACCCTAACCCTAACCCTAAGCTTAACCCTAGGGTTAGGGTTGGAGTTAACTCCTGGGAAAACGATAAGCGTTCAGAACCTGAAAGCAAATGCAAAAGATTAGTATCGTCGTAGACATTCAGGGAAACTTGTTTTAAACTTTTGTAGACGATAAAATTTTTAACCTGGAAGTGACCCCAAGCTTACACTAACCCTAACCCTAAGCTTAACTTAGGGTTAGGGTTGGGGTTAACTCCTGCAAAAACGATAAGCGTTGAGAATCTGAAACCAAATGGAAAAGATTAGTATCGTCGCAGACGTTCAGGGAAAAATCTTTAAAACTGGTGTAGACTAAAAAATATTTATTTTGGAAGTCACCCCAAGCTAACCCTAATCCTAACCCTAAGCTTAACCCTAGGGTTAGGGTTGGGGTTAACTCCTGGAAAAACGATAAGCGTTCAGAACCTGAAAGCAAATGCAAAAGATTAGTATCGTCGTAGACATTCGGGGAAACTTGTTTTAAACTTTTGTAGACGATAAAATTTTTAACCTGGAAGTGACCCCAAGCTTACCCTAACCCTAACCCTAAGCTTAACTTAGGGTTAGGGTTGGGGTTAACTCCTGCAAAAACGATAAGCGTTGAGAATCTGAAACCAAATGGAAAAGATTAGTATCGTCGCAGACGTTCAGGGAAAAATCTTTAAAACTGGTGTAGACTAAAAAATATTTATTTTGGAAGTCACCCCAAGCTAACCCTAATCCTAACCCTAAGCTTAACCCTGGGGTTAGGGTTGGGGTTAAGTCTTGGAAAAACGATAAGCGTTCAGAACCTGAAAGGAAATGCAAAAGATTAGTATCGTCGTAGACATTCAGGGAAAGTTGCTTTAAAGTTTTGTAGACGATAAAATTTTTATCCTGGAAGTGACCCCCAGCTTACCCTAACCCTAACCCTAAGCTTAACTTAGGGTTAGGGTTGGGGTTAACTCCTGCAAAAACGATAAGCGTTGAGAATCTGAAACCAAATGGAAAAGATTAGTATCGTCGCAGACGTTCAGGGAAAAATCTTTAAAACTGGTGTAGACTAAAAAATATTTATTTTGGAAGTCACCCCAAGCTAACCCTAATCCTAACCCTAAGCTTAACCCTAGGGTTAGGGTTGGGGTTAACTCCTGGGAAAACCATAAGCGTTCAGAACCTGAAACCAAATGCAAAAGATTAGTATCGTCGTAGACATTCGGGGAAACTTGTTTTAAACTTTTGTAGACGATAAAATTTTTAACCTGGAAGTGACCCCAAGCTTACCCTAACCCTAACCCTAAGCTTAACTTAGGGTTAGGGTTGGGGTTAACTCCTGCAAAAACGATAAGCGTTGAGAATCTGAAACCAAATGGAAAAGATTAGTATCGTCGCAGACGTTCAGGGAAAAATCTTTAAAACTGGTGTAGACTAAAAAATATTTATTTTGGAAGTCACCCCAAGCTAACCCTAATCCTAACCCTAAGCTTAACCCTAGGGTAAGGGTTGCGGTTAACTCCTGCAAAAACGATAAGCGTTCAGAACCTGAAAGGAAATGCAAAAGAATAGTATCGTCGTAGACATTCAGGGAAAGTTGCTTTAAAGTTTTTTAGACGATAAAATTTTTATCCTGGAAGTGACCCCCAGCTTACCCTAACCCTAACCCTAAGCTTAACTTAGGGTTAGGGTTGGGGTTAACTCCTGCAAAAACGATAAGCGTTGAGAATCTGAAACCAAATGGAAAAGATTAGTATCGTCGTAGACGTTCAGGGAAAAATCTTTAAAACTGGTGTAGACTAAAAAATATTTATTTTGGAAGTCACCCCAAGCTAAGCCTAATCCTAACCCTAAGCTTAACCCTAGGGTTAGGGTTGGGGTTAACTCCTGGGAAAACGATAAGCGTTCAGTTTAGCGAAAAAATCTGAAACCAAATGGACCCCAAGCTTACCTTAACCCTAACCCTAACCCTAACCCTAACCCTAACCCTAACCCTAAAAGATTAGTATCGTCGTAGACGTTTAGGCTTAGCTTGGGGGACTTCCAAAAAAATATTTTTTTTAAAACTGAACGTCTACGACGATACTAAAAATTTTTATCGTTTTTGAAGTGACCCCAACCCTAACCCTAAGTTAACCTTAACTTCCAGGATAAAAAATCGTCCAAAACTTGAAAGCAACTTTCCCTGAACGCTTTTCGTTTTCCCAGGAGTAAACCCTAAACTCTAAACCTAACATCTAACCCCAAAATCATAGGCTGACTTCTCTGAAAAAATTACGGGATAACCGCATTCAGGTTCAGTTTGCAAAACTACAGCTCACTCCTTTGTCGTCACTGCACGAATACAAACATCGATTAATTTGCCAACTTTCATTAAAGACTGATCGAGTTGGCATAAAGGCAAAAAAAGTTTGAAAAAGTAGGAAGTCAGTTTTCCAGTGACGTTTCCGTTAACAGGTCGTAAAGGTGTAAATAAGACAACCGATTTTAAGAACCGGACGGACGAGAATTCCCAGGATTGCCCCCCGGGATTATTAAGCGCGTCGCAAACTTGACCACTTTCGGTGATATCCCTACTTTGGTTGATCTGCCTACTTTCGTTCATGTGTCTACTCTGGTTAATTTGCCTACTTTTCTTGATTTCCCCTAACCCTAACCCTAACCCCAACCCTAACCTCTAACCCTAGCCCTAGCCCTAACCCAACCCTAACCCTAACCTCTAACCCTAACTGAAACCCTAACCCTAACCCCTAACCCTAACCCTAAGCTTAACTTAGGGTTAGGGTTCGGGGTTAGGGTTAGGGTTAGTGTTAGGGTTAGAGTTAGAGGTTTAGGGTTAGGGTTAGGGTTAGGGTTAGGGTTAGGGCTAGGGTTAGAGGTTAGGTTTAGAAGTTGGGGTTAGGGTTGGCTTAGGGTTGGGGTCAAAATTTTAAATTTCTCCTAAGTCAGTTTATAGTCAAATTAGACCTGGAAATGTCGTTTGCCAACGTTGTAGAGTGTTTGCAAGGTCATCTGCTTTCAGCTTTTGGACGGCGGCCATCTTTTGGTTTTTTCAGGAGGTTACAGTGGAACCTCGATATAACAAAGTCCTCGATATAACGAACGATTTTTTTTACCCCAGAAATAAAGAAATTTATGAAGAAGAACCTCGATACGACGAAACCTCGTTATAGCGAACAAATTTTGCCAGTCCGTTGGCCCTTCGTTATATCGAGGTTCTTTTTCATGTTTTGCTATTACGGGGGTAAGAAAAAAAACAGAGGTTACACTGTATTATGATTTTGGGTCACTTCCTTCCCCGGAGTCAATAGCCTGCGTGACAGTAGTCCATTTCTGGTCCGTTCCTCGCTGTCACGTAACACTGGCGTTAGGTGACTTATGGACTTTCGAAAAAGTCCTTCGTCCGATTCTGATGACTTGCAAGGGCGACTTGTGGCAAGTTTACGTGTCAGTTACTTTTCGGATCGGATGGAGACAAGCGACGACCGGAAATACGTCTATATCCGCAGGCTAGAGAGAGAGGGGCCAGAACTCGACTAGCGTGACAGGCTTTCGAAAGGGAAGTGGGAAAGGACTTCGGGCGCGCGAGCGTGCAAGGGGGAAGAGTGGAGTGCCTTCCCTTCACCTAGCGCGCGTGAACAACTCTTCCCCTTTTCATTTCGAATGCCTGCCATGCAGGCTTTGGGGTCAAGTACAGATCTAGCCGCTATCTAGTGTTGTTCTCGGTAGCCCCAAACTCGCCCTCGCGCTTGTAAATAGCCGATAGATTTATCCTGGAAAGTTGACATTCCCAATCTTTTCTTTGGTTTGCAATATTAATTCCAGCAATTATTGCATTTTACCATTCGAATGCGAAAAAACATTTCGGAAAAGAAAAGAAAACCAACTACAAATTTCTTAGCTTTACTACACAAGTATCTCAACAATTGTATGTACAAGTTAACACTGACCTAGTTTCTTAACCAGAAGAATGGATATTATTTTTATTTGACAGTCTCTCAAGGTAAGTTAAAAAGGCTGGTCAAAAAGAAAAATTAAATTTCATTTGATCAACGAAAGGAGCCACAACTGATTTGTGATTTACAACTGTGCTTTTAACCCTTCGAGATAACAGACAAACCTTTCAAGGGATTAATTAAACATTGAATTCTAAATCCATAGTAAAGACGTTAATAACTTTCGTCGTCATCATCATCAAAGTATCCAACTTTCTTTGGCGTGTAAGCATCTTTGAACTGGTCATCAAATAACTCCAAATCCCGCTGATCACGTAACACCCCCTGTAGAAAAAAACCAACAAGCACTCGGTAAATGACAAGCAATCACTTTTTGAAGTTTGTTCCTTGAACAGTGTAACCGCTGTATAAACGGAGGGGGTAAGGGGTAGGGGGCGGGATTCGCACCTCCGACTCAGCACAGAAAGACAACTAAAACAGAATAGGACAGTTAACTGGTCAGTTAACTCAGGATGTCATTTGTGGTTTGTTAGTTAAAATATTGGCTGTGAAGACTCTAAACATGAGCGATGATGTGCATCGTTGGCGTATATAAGTATTTCTGAAGCATGCGGAAAAATACGAGAGAAGTGCAAGGAGGAAGTATTTCTCTTGAATTTACGCAAATGTTATTATATTGTGGGCAGCTCGCTACCGCGGACACACCCACCTTAGGTAAAAAGCCGAGTAGATTGGCAGCGTGCTCCTTAAGCAGTCTCTGTCTTTCTTGTTCAATAATCTGTCGCCTGTATTCCTCCATTCTTTCTTGTTCACGGCGAGCCTCAAGTTCTGCTTCCTAAAAAGAATATTGAAATATGATAACCCAATTGTTCTAACATTTACTACAAAAAATCTTCATGGAGGAAGGAAAGAGAATTTTCCTTCCGATATTGCAAATTAAAAAGGAGTAATCGCGCCTACGAACAGTCCTTCTTTTTTTCTTAGCTGGTCTTTTCTTAGGTCTTCGGCCTTGGACGATAACACCCTCTTTAATCTGCATAATTCTTCATATCATACTCAGCATCATCCAATAACTGACTACTAAAAAGGTGTGATGGCGCCCACGAACAGCTCTTCCTTTTTCTTAGTTCGTCGAGTGTAAGTTTAAAAAAGGGTCTACCAAAGAAGATTTCGGTTAAGGTAGGGGGCTGCATGTAGTCTAACGGTTGACGGATCAGTGCTGCCTTACCCTCTCTCTCTGGAACTGAATCCTTCTGTCTTCAATCAGTTTTTCCACGGCCCTCTTATGCTCTAGCTGTTTCATTCGCCTCTTCTGTGCGTTCATCTGTTCGATGCGGTCGTCTTCGGCAAACTTTTCAAGCATCTAAAAGAAGTAGCATCAATGGTTAATCTAAACCGCTTGAAACGGGATCCAGGAGCAAAGTGTCTTTAACCTTTTAAGCCCTAAGAGTGACCAACATCAATTTTCTCCTAACAATAACAAATATATAGGACATTTGCGAGTTTCCCCGGGCCTCTGTATCAAAACGAGGTTAAGTGCTCAGCCTTTGATTTGGAAATAATTTTTTATTCTCATGCAAATAAAACTCATTTTTCACAACAAAGGTTGTGCGGTTGGCCTCATCTTGAAAGTGAGGATCTTTGGAACTAGGAAGTGGCCTATTAATTGACCACCAAGGGGAAAGTGCTTTGATCTGTTAACAAATTTCCCCAACTCATTCATTAAATATAAGGAAAAGTACGAAAGTCAGTCTGGACTATTTTTATGTGAATATTGGAGCGTGAAGAGTTAAACAAGGATTACATGGCAGTAACTGCGCTTACTTTTCTTCTAAACTCCTCCTCTTCTTCTAACTCTGCTTGCCGCTTCTGCTCCTTAAACTGGAGCTGCTGTCGGCGAGTTTCCTGCAAGTCCAACCGTTGACGAATCTTGTTCTCAATCGCCATCTGAAAAATAAAGGGCAAAGTATGTTATAAAGTAGATAACAAGTAAGCTCCTGCTTATGCTGAAGAATTCTAAAGATGACGCCCAAGTATAATGAGTATCAAATTTTTCCTTGTAAACTAAAAACGTTTATGAGAATAAAGGACATTATCACAGACGATGCGGAAACTGTCTTGACGTTTTAAAGCCTTTTCTCTACCGCTCAAGGAGTTAACGATACAGAAGATGGAGGAAGAATTTTTATTCTAATGCTGTGGGTAAAAAAGAGCTGATCGACTAGCCCCGCTTCCTTTGTACGTCGAGCGCCAAGATAAAAACTGTACCCTGCAGAAAATTCTCCGAACTGAACGCATAAGCACAACGTGAAAAGATGAATAAACTGCATAAGCACTGGGAAGTATCAGAAGGGAATCGTGCCCTCGGGAACGTGTATTTGCTTTGAACCATTTTAACCGAGGCAGGATTAACTCAGTCGGTAGAGCGCTTGACTGCAGAACGGAGTCGCGGGTTCGATTTCCAGTGCAGGAACAATGACTGAGAAATGATGAAGGTACTCCCTTTGCAGTGCAAGAGGCTAAACCTTCACGTGGTTCAGATGACCACGTAAAATGGCGGTCCCGTCTCCAGTTGGTGACGTAATTATAGTGTCCTCAACAATTAGTACTCTCGTGATCAATACATTTACACTCAAATAAAGTGGATTTTATTTTATTTTATTTATTTGTATATTTTTACCTTTTCCTTTTGTCTTTCCAGTTCTTCTTGTTCTTCAAGATAAAGCTCAGTTCGTATTCTAAGAATAAAAAGAGACCAGTTTTAGAAACTAAGCTCCGACCCAACGATGTGAAAATAACTGTTACCTTCATTTTCATAACTGCTTGCAACAACAATGACTCATATCAAAAACTTGTACATGTTTCTTTGATGTTATGGTGATCTGTGAACTGCCCGATCATTACCTTTCCATCTCCTCTCTTGCTTCAGCCTCTTCTTGGATTTGTGTGGACAGCTAGAATCAAACACAGTAACTGATATGAAACATGGAATATTTCTTTTAAATGCCACGAATGTGGAGCAAAGGTAGAGCCTGAGATCATTGTAAATAACTGCAAGGGGTGACAGGCCGGACAATCCTTACCGGCGTGATACCATACTGATTTAAACCTTTTATAATTGATCTAACGAGTAAATCCTTTAAGGATTTTCCTTTATAAGAAAACAGGTGATTATATAAACGCTAAAAGCAATGCAAGAGAGAAACCTCTGCTCGCAGAGGACTGGAGAGTTGTTTCCTCGCAAATGTTTTCTAAAGGATATACTTTTGAATCGCAACTTCCAAAAGCCCCAAGCATTTTGCGAGTTGGCAATTGCGAGTGTTAATTTCCCTGTAAACGTTCATTACACGTACAGGAGACAAAGAGGATTTACCTTGTGTTGCACGGCTGCCATGCCCTCTTCCAGTAATCTCTTCTTCTCCATTCTGTCCTCTTCTCGCTGTTGCTGTAGTTTTGCAAACTCCAGAATTCGTTCATTCTCTTCCTCCATAAGTTTACGTTCATGCTCCTTCCACTGAAATGTGAAATATAGACAACAACGGAATGAACCACTGAATACAAAACTGTCATCACGGTGCTCTACCAAGCAGTAAAAGATTATGATTATACAGTACTACTTTCATCATCATTATAATTATAATGATAATAAAATAAATTTTGTTTAATAATATTGTTAACAGTTCGCTTCCAAATGTTTTCTTTATGTCGTTATTGCTTTTTCATAATTCTAATTCCATTAAATACAAAATTTCGCTGAGACATCTAGAGTTGCAGGACACATTACAATTAGGTTTGCAATTTAATGCCACTGTTACGACAAAAATTACACCATTAAACAATAATTACTATTAAAAAGGTTGAGAAGGTTAAAGGCTTGTTTATAGTGGAAATTGCACTTAGCTTGTCTAGCTAATTTACAGGCACTCCACTCAAATATTTAGAAACAAATAATTCACATACAACATAACAGGATTAATATTATTAATAACGAAATTTTTGTTATTACAGCAGCATTACTATTAAACAGTTTAGATGACCAGTTAAATGTAAGTCCTAGAGCTAATTAAGCAATGTGGTCTTAGGTAACAATAACTTTCTAGTAAATTTTTTGGTAATGAACTGTAGCATAACTAAAACATTGTTGGCTCTGATCTGATCTTCACTTTGTTTGGTATAAATTTTTGCCTACAAGCCATAAAAACTTTATTGACTTTTGGATGAGATATCTTTTAAAATTTTGTTTTCTCACAGAGGAGATAAGAGTTATAACTACATTCTGCACAACATCATGTCTGGGAATATTGGTAACTCAAAATTTGGCTGGACTGACCATACGACAATCGCACTCTAACTTATTGCAGTCTGTTTGAATTTGGTTTGACGCAGCGCGGCCGAGTGGTCAACGCGTCGGACTCGCAATCTAGCGGACCCGGGTTCGAGTCCTGCTCGGCCACTTGCTGGATTTGTTCTCGGGACAAATCCCCGGCGACGCTTGTAAATAGCCAACTCGTTGCCTCCTGCCAGTTGGGGTTTTTAATCCTGTTATGTTGTGTTTGAATTATTTGTTTCTAAGTATTTGAGTGGAGTGCCTGTAAAGTAGCTGAATAAGCTAAGCGTTCTTTCCACCATGATAAACAAGCCTTTAACCTTTAACCAAGATAAGCTAAACAACATATCCAACTAAAAAGCGTATTACACAATAGTGCCAACAGTGACCAACAACAATTTTCTCCCAGCAATATCCATACATTGTGAAGAGATCAAGTTATGAGAATTAATAAAATGATCACCAAAGAGAGAATGCCTTGATCTTTTATCAAATTCCCTCCACTAATTCTTACAGGAAATGTATGGAGATCAGTTTGGAGAATTTGTACGTGGATATTGGGACTTAAATTAAACTGAGCACCCACCTCATCTCGCTTAGTCTTGAATTCCTCTATGTACCTCTGAGTAGCCTTTTGCTTCTCAAGTCTGTTTTCAAGCTCTCTGAGGAATATAATCAGCAAATTTCTAAGCACAAGTATCCATAAAACCAAGTCCTAAGAAGTAAAATTTAATGCTGATGGAAGGAAAAAAAAACAATTGTTTTAATATGCAAGTGAAGACATTTTGGTAGATTTTCTTTGCTGTCATCACACTTGTAACTTATAACCTTGTCAACTTTGATCAGAAAGGCAATGGGATCATGGCCTTAATCTCTAAGATCACTTTTTTTTATAAAAGTGATCATTTTGACTTCAACTTCAACAAGTCGGAAATACTCATAAAGAGTCCCAAAAGGAAAGGGCACAAGCGGGAATCCTAGATCCCATGCAAAGTGGTCTTTCTACCCATTCCCAAGATACTTAACAGACAGGTGGGGTGGTCACTGCCAGAGATTTTTCCGTCCCTAGGGCTTCTTCTACACGTCATATTTCGAGTCAGATCACAGAAGTCCTGTGAGATGAAGACTACAGTTTTTCATCCATATGAAAGAAGACTAGAATTTCTAACCATTTGCAGATGTGAAACAAAACAGCACAGTTATTGCAAAACCCAGACAGGTATTGAACCCACAGCTACCAAAGACCAGTGTGCTCAGCTCTGGATGAGCTACATTATACATGTAACCAGTCAGCAATTTACATACACGTACCTTTGATCTTCTTCATATATCTTGCGAACAATTTCATCAATCATGAGCTTTTCCTTCAGGAACTCCTCGTAAGCCTCCTGTTTTCTGCGTTCCTTCTCCAACAGTTGATTTTCAAGCTGCTCCTGATATCTGACACTCTCTTCCCACCGTTTCACCTCCTTCTCTCTCTCAACCTCAAGTGCTCGCTTGTATTCCTCTTCCATTTTGGCATTAATCTTGTCATCTATCCTCTACACACACAAAAAAAACAATATACCAGTATTTAGTGGTGGAATGGTATTCTGCATGAGTACATCAGTGACCAATTCAAAAGCAAGGGCCAAATTGCAACCCTTCTGACATTAAAGGGTCTTTCATTAGGGACAGGCACCTCGAAAGATTACTATGAATGCAGATATCTACTTTCAGTGCTTCGTGTGGTGTTGCACAAAGTAGCATCTCTTCGTGAACTGAGATTCACTTTTACGCTTGCCTGATTAGAAAAGTATTATTTCTGACCTGTCTGTCTACTGCCATTGCCATCTTTTCTGCTAGTTGTGCTGCCCTTTCTTGATTCATGTAACCAGCTTTAAGTTTTGCCTCTAGCTCCCTCAATTCAACACTGTAAGGAAAAACAATTAATAATAGAAACTTTAAAGACTGAGGTGACGACTTGTAAACTAAAAAATGCCCCAAAATACAAATAAAAAGAATCAAAACAACATTTAACATGCTGAAAGACCTAAAGGGTATTCCATTATTCAACATGACATGAACTGTTTAATACAAGATAAGTTAAGCAATGTTTGTTAATCAACCAATCATGAACCAGCATTATTAACTGGGCTGCCTCAAGGCACGCCCAAGTTCATGGGTAGTTTCCTTCATCAAAAAATGGACACTATCAATATTTGAGTTAATAATATTATTATTAACCCAGTAACCCAGAGGGCATTGCATTATCCATAAAGCATGTTTGTCCATCTTCGTAGAGTCTGTTTAAAGATTGATTTCTTTCTGTTTAATGCAACAGTATGCCTTTTTGGGGGTTTAAATTTTGGAATAGGATAAAGAAGACTTGTCCGACGTAAAAAGGAACTTTGGTAAGAGGGCAAATAAGTGGCCAAGCGTCGAGATGCTTTTCCTAATTTCTGTGTCTCTGCCAATTCAAGAAGCACGACTGACGTTAGTACTAACGAGTTTCGATAAACTTTAAGGTTCACAGCTCGCTTTAGCATGCATACCTTTTTATGTCACACAACCTGTATTTTACTAAAAGTGTTCTGAATACGCACACTGTAAATGTGAGGAGGTAAAGAATATCTAGGGTTTTTTAAAAACTAGTTAAAACTATACAGAGGTCAATATTTATTGAACTTCGAGATAAATCGCTGGAGCAAAAAACAATTTGAGTTCGTGCCATCAGCACTTTGAACCGAGACTCAAATTTGATAAAAAAATCTGTTATCCACTGTTTGATCTATTTACAATTTTTGAAGCACGTACTGATGGAAAAAAACCTGTGAGTAATCTTTAAATTTTTTGAGGTCCCAAATTCCAAGAGAGCTAATGCCTTAAAAAATTTTAATAGGTTGAAGAAAGATAACTAGTTAAAAGGAAAGACTCTTGAAATGTATGAATATTTTTATCTTGTGGCACAATGCATTTTCGTGTAGACCATAAATTATAGATCATTGTCTATTGATATCTCTTTCAGTCTCGGTTCTCGGTTGCATAAGGCCCATGTATCTTTATGGGTTTTATAATGGGTTGTTTCCTCTTAAAAGCTGTTCGCTGTCTGTTCTGGTTAACTTGTCATTTTCTTGTGGTACAATAATTATTTATAGTCTACATGTAGGTTGTCGTGAACAGCCGGCGTTTCTGACAAATAATCTGGTTCTCTCAATATGGCTGTCTACAGATTTGCTTAAATAGATTTATGGCCAAAGATTTCCTAGGGTCTCTCACATCTCAATCTCTCAGTACTCAACCTAAGTGATAATATTACATAATTACAGAAGTCTTCCTGAAGGGTACAATGTTCAAATGAGTTTATGTTTCACTCTCACATAAGACTCTATGTCACGAAATGGTCCGCTACAAGGTTTCATGGTAGCCTGTGTACAGCCGCCCCCTCCCCTCAGAAAAAACCACCCCTTTATAGCAGCCCAGTTAAAGTGGCCTTCCAGTAATTCTAGTTGCCATATGATAAAAAGACATAAATTGACCAAATATTTTATGACTTTTCTGACCTGTTTTCTCTTATCTGCTGCTTGAGCTTTTCTTCTCTGCATCTTTCAAGTTTCACAAATTCAAGTTCCTATTATTAAAGAATCAACACTCGGAAAAAAGGGACTCAGAATCATGCTAAACCTCAATTTAGGGACAGACCATTAGAAAAGTTATTGGGCAGGGGTGGGGAATTTTTGAGCTGCAGGAATTTTTTTTGTTATCAACTTCCTTGTATGAATTTTCTTTAGGTCGTAACATGAATATTATTTTTTTAGGATTAATTGGCGTGCATGAATTTTTTTTCATTTCATTTTCCCTTGTGTGAATATTTTTTTTGGTACTTCGCCCAGTCCCCCAATAAGTTTTCTAATGGTCTGTTCTTTACATGTTGTGGTTCAAATATTTTATCTTGGGTTCCAATATTTATTTCATTATTTTATTTTATTTATTTTTTTGGTTAAATCTATTATCATCCACTACCATACCTAAAGACAAAGGAAAACATACAGTGGAAGCTCTCATAAGTGGACACCCTCAGGACGTGAAAAAGGAGTCCATAACTGGAGCTGGCCGCTTATGAGAATATTGCTCATATGCAGTCACGACAAAGTGTTAGGGTTAAAGGGCTGCTTATGGGAGTTAACCCAGCTACAAATAAACATGAGGTTTCACCATTTGTAAGCAACTATTTGTTAGTGTTTGGCTATACTGTTGTTGTGATGACAATGTAATTTATAGTCACAGGCATAAAATTCAGGCGGTCTTTTTTCAACTGTCACCAGGTGAGTATGTGAAAAAAAAAACTCAAATTAATATAAATTAATTGTGACGAACAGCGAGTTCAAGTTGATTTATTAAAATATAAGTTTCAGATTGATTTCGGGTGTCTGCTTACCGTAGTTTAAAAGCAAAGCCAAAATTGAACTTGTAAACCCTGAGAGTGTCTGCGGCCACTCATGGGAAAGTGTCCACCCAGTTATGGGAATGTGAAAATACAGAGTTTGTAAGGAGTTGAAACAGGGTGGTTGTAAGTAGAGATGTTCATTAAAAGAGCTTTCACTTTCATTTAAAACAAGGATAAAATTGAACCACAACATACATGCATAAGACATACACTTCCTCTTTCAAATAATATTATAATTATGTGCTTATTTCCTAAATGATAACATAGCAATGCAAACCTTAACTAGCCAAATTATGATTTTAGTTACTTTAGCTTCTCTGTGAAAAGATTATTTGCTTTGAATTAAGGCTGATAAAAACTACAATTTGCCATTTTCACATAGACCATGATGCATCTTGCTTACTCCCCAAAGTTTTGCATAACCATTGTCTTCGATTTCTCTTGGGATGAATGTAATGTCCAGGAGAAATTGGAAATGATGGATGTAAAATTCTGTCAGGTAACCAAGGTGCATTATGGTCTATGTGAAAATGGTGAATCATTTCAAAACATCACCTTCACATCAACCAAAAATTGAAAATTAAAAAACCTTGGCAAGTCTTTCCTCTTGCTCCTGTTGCCTCTGTTGGAGTTCTTTTTGTTCTTTTTGCTGTGAATAAAAAGTAGAATGTCACATTAAAATATTGTGTACCTCTTTCACCCCCAACTCCCTTCCTTTTCCCTTAATGAATATTTCTCACAATGGTCTACAAATTTCCTAAGTGTGACTCTAAAACAAATGTCTCCATGTTTAAACAGTTCTTATAGCGTAAAGCTCAAGAGGTTAAGGTTATGTGAAACTGTGAACAATATTATGCTGTGTCCTTTACAGGCCGCAGCCAAACTGGTTTTCCACAAAGAAAATACATGTTCAACAGGGCTGTCAAAAAGTTTTTAAGTAGCAGGTTGATAATGAAATAGTAGGCGGCTTTTGGACTTGCACCAAAGGCACAAGTTCTTGAGAGCCGAGGCATCCGGGGACATTTTGAAATTTAGAGTCTCGGAAATGGAGTTTCCAGGGGTTTTCAAGGGGTATTTTCCACCGCAGACACCACGTTGTTTCTTCAGAATACATGCAAGACTGGGAACAATGCCATCAAAATATCCCAGACGCTCCACAACATCACACGGCTTGAACATTTCACAGAACTAAACCTGTTTAAATATGCGTTCAATGTCATTCAAAACTGGGAAATGGATGCTTTACAATTATTTTATTCGAAGGTGCTTATTTTTTGTTAGCAATTATGGCAGAAGGAGATGAAAGTAGCTGGCTAAGGATGGCTATCTAGCCGGCGGTTTTGGCCGGCTACTGGCCCTTATTGACAGCCCTGGTTCAATGTATGTATCAAATGGTGTATTAAAAGCTACAGGGATGCACCCTTCCCAATTCCCAAGAGCAGACATGTGCAGTACTCGAAATGAGGCAGGATAAATGCCTTGTATGTCCCCATAGTTTCAAATGAGATAAAGAGACCTGATCTTCTCAGTGCCACTGTCATTCAATACACCTTACCCAACTGAAAAGAAATATGTTCCTTGAAAGCCAGAATTTTGTCCAGAGTTTAACTCCCAAAATCTTCTGGTGTACAGAAACAGGTATTGAAGTATCATTGATTGGGAAGGCGAAGTCACATTTTGAAGGACCAATGGCAAGAGCTTACGTCTTGTCTGGGTTTGTTGTTGTTCAGATTGAACCAGTCCGCTCAACAGCTTAAGGTGTCAGTAGAGACGAATTCGAACAATGCCTCAAGCTGCTTATTGGACTGGTTCAATAAGGAACTTAAGGTATGGGTATTTGTATATTTATGTGTCTATATACTTGAATGGGGGTCAAAGCCAGATTGGATTGGTTGTATCAGATTGGATTGGTGGGAATTTAAAGCGAATTGCCAGTCCAATCCCATCCGCGCGATCCAATCCAGGTTTTGTACACAACCTTTGATTGGAGTGGTGGGGCATCGCCTTAATTCGAAACAAGATGGATTGACAATACAGAAGGTGGATACCCATATAATCGACAATATGAGTACAAAACAAGCAGCAGCAGTATGTTCAGATGTCATTTTACTTGTGATCATTCCTCTGTAAGCGTTTACCACTGCACTTAGCTTTTTATACTTTACTCTTAACTAAGAAAATGGTCTATTATAGAAGTCATGATGTAGAAGTTTGTGGATGTAAGATGATGTACAGCATATATATTGAACGTATGCACTAAATGGACCAAATTATCACATTTCCGCCAAAGCATTCATTTAACATAGAGTTATAATCATAAGAACCTCACTTTTCGAATTGCTTCATCCATTTCTCGTTCGGTTTCTTCCTGACGACGTCTTCTTAGAAATCTTTTATTCTCTATCCTTTCTTCACTGGCCATGTTAGCTTCCAAGGTTCGTTCCTGGTTGATTCGCTTTATTTGATCCTCTCGGGCGATCTCTTTTTTCCTGTTTTCAGCGAGAAGTTTCTGCTGCTGGGCATGGCCAAGGTTCATACGACGCACAGAGGCCTGAAAGTGCATTGCAAAATCATCACGTTCACATGTATCGTGAAAGACACAAGTCTTATCTGTACCGCCTTAACCTCCATGGTCGAAAAGAAGACAACTTGATCGATACTGATAAATTTAACGGATACTCGACCTAACTCACCATAATTGAAAATTTCAAAAGCTATAATACACTAAACACCGTGCAAATATTCCTAAAAAGGTTTCTAAAACCACCGAAATCCACTTAAATACGGAAAATACAGGAGAGACTTTGGCACAGATCGTTCGCTCCGAGATTTTGTTTGTTGCTGTAACAACCATTTTAAGAGAGCCTCGCTTACATGCTCAATACACCGCACTCGACCCAGTTCCTCTGCAGTTTTCAGTTCTGAAGTGACTGGACACCTGTTTACCCGCACTTTTGCGCGAAAACAATAGTTTTTCCACTTAAATAAAATTGTTGTCATGACGACTAAAGCGTCTCAGTGGGATTCTTTTCACGTCGAACTTGCAATGGAATGTCACGCGGGAAAGAAAATTCTTACGTCATGCAGAGTTACCTGTTGGTTGCTTCATGCAGCTGCGGGAGAATAGCAGAGGCCATTTTAATATTGTAGAAGGTTGTAATGCTTTCCATGTTGTTACACTGCACGTTACAAGCACCTCTGCACCTAAGGCACTAACACTGTCACTCAACTGAGCGAAACTCGCGCACAGCACTAGTGAGGTGCAATGGACTCCAAATCGACTTCTGATGACGAGGTTTGGAACAGTTATGCCACGCGATTTGGAGCGTATAGAGGTAGTAGGTAATGAGTCCCCACACCCTAGCGACCGTAACATTGAAATTCTTTCCTTCCTAGGTTCGAACTCTGTTCGTTAGCGGATTGCCCATAGACGTAAAACCACGTGAAATCTACCTTCTTTTCCGCGGCTTCAAGGTAGGATGCGCTTTCTTCGGTTCAGCTGTTGTGCCGCTGATATTTTCAACATCGGTTATAGCACGGCTGAAAATGCCGAGAAAGAAAGCATTAAATTTGAATGGGATTCTACTGGTCCCTGCCTTAGTTTGATTTTCTTAAACAAATCAGCTAAGACGAAAAAACATTAAGTAAACTTATGTTACCGTTAAGTACAGTGTATGCGTCGGTCAATGTTTTGAAATCGCCTTGTTCGAGGTCGCAGGGTTCAATCTACGATTTGAAAGAAAGCCGAATGAATATTGAATAGCCTTCGTTACCCTTCGAAAAGCATTTATCAGATAACAAGAGTACACTAGTTTTGTACGAGCCATTAAGCTTTGAAATTTCCTCATTAGTGCACTAAGAGATAACTTTGACAAACTTCGTTTATTCGCGAAGTCAGTTACCCCAGATTTTGCCAAATATTTGCAAAGCGTCTCGAGCGGCCATTATAAAAGCGAAGAGATTTACAGTGTTAACCCGACTCATCTTATATGCAAACACAAAACAAAGAAGCGGCTTACGAGTTCTTCGTTAGTATTTACAGGAATGTACATGATCTGAAATTTCATGGCCGGTTGTGAAAAAGTAACCGAGTCAGTTTAAATTCAAGAATTTACATTTAGTAGCAAGTGAAAACCGTTCGGAATTCTACATAGTTTATTGAATCGAAGCGTAATTATCACTTCGCTAGCTTGTGATTCCTAGAGCAATTAAGGACAAGGCAAGCTAATTAGGTGTCCAGAAAGAATAGGCCGAAACTTATCTAAACAGTGTGTGGCTGGAATATTTGCATCAGATATTATTATTGACCATGGCCAACTTGAGATACATCTGCTTCAAATTCGCCTTTTTTCGCATCTTAACTGACTTTATTACCATTTTAGCGAACTATAAATTCATGTGTTTTAGTGCAAAATTTGTTTACACCTCACATAGGATCTGACATTGCTTTCAAGTTGTCAAAATATACTCTTAAACGTAAGACAATTCTTAGATAAGCCATTAGAAATACCATATACTAGTATTTGTAAACATTTGAAAAGAATTAATTCGTTCTTCGAATGTTTTCAAAAATAACCTGCAGCAAATTCACCACACGCTGAAAAGCGCACAATGTGCATGTCATAACTTATTTCAAAGAAAAAACACCATTTTTATAATCTTGTGCTTGAAGTCGTCTTAAAAACTAAGCCGTTTTTGTTTAACGGTAGATCTTTATTTTTCAGCGATCGACGAGATATCAAAATAAGTCTGAGAGCCAAAAGAGAATAATACAGTATTCGTTATCATTGGGGCGGACTTCCTGATTATCATAATTTGCTTCGTTTATAGCAATTTATTCTCCTTTTTCCAAACTCATGTAATTATTTCACCTGTAGTCCTTGACAAAAAACTGCATTCGTTATTTAGAGAGTAAAAATTAGTGTCTTAGCAGAGCATTCTGTCTTGTATTGCTGTCAAGTCTTGCAATCAATTGATTCTTTTTCAATCCTGTCCTCTTTGCATAAGAATGGTGAACAATTTGATACCAAAGGCAATATACAGCACTTTCAAGCTACGGTCTAATATAAAAACCACACACATCCCGCAAAACGATATCCGCGTTCGTAAATAAACTTCCCAGCATTTCAAGAGTGCTATAGAACAAGTATCTAAACTTTGACGTCTTTCATCAGACGCAATCGTCCACTTTTCTTGAGTATCGATATTCTTAACTTAAGTGATTCATCGACATTGCCAAAAACCAACCTGAAAGCTTTCAAGCGTTAATTACACTTTGTTTTAACACTTTTCACCTAAAGCTTAGAGTAGTTTTTTTTAGTGTGTGTGGTTAGAAAAGCTAACCCCGCTTGCTGTATCTGTCTCATCGTTTTAGGGTTACGAGGGATCCTTGTTGAAGCTCACGGATAAACAAGTAAGAAGAATACAATTACAGGGCATAAAAAGTAGTTACTCAGTTGAGTTAGTATTCATCCGTCTGTATCGTGTTCAAGGTACATTTTGAATTGACATAGAACATCCAACGAACCTGTGTTGCTGAAACCCCGCAAACCTTTAACCGCCGCTCGGTTTTTATGGATTATCTAAGAAAACTAATCCATATCCCTGGCACGATATCTTTGGATGCAAGATTCAATGATTTATACTGCCTTTACAAACAACAGACATAATTGCTCCGTGGATTCTTTTGTGCTGTTAAGTTGAAAATTAGTTTTCCTTATTTGCACCTTGCCCTCATAGAACAAATCATAGTTCAGTGCTTGAACGCCTTTATATCTTTTTTTATTCAAGCGTACGATAAATGAAACGGTTTTTTACACTCTCATATCATCCTCATGTCAGGCATAAACCACGGAATTATTGACATGACCAGCAGTTTTGCTGATGATATTTTCACAAAAGTCGACGCTAATTGTCAGTCAGTTTCTTAGCGGGAAGTAATTAACTATATTAATCGACCCAATGACTTCACACAGCATGATTTTAGTGTTTTTCATGAGAATCTCTTAAGAGAAACATTCTCACTAAGCCAGGATGAAAACACAGTAAATAATTGTCCTTTAAGAAATAGTAAATTATTCTCATAGTGAAGTTAGCTGAATCGATTTTATTCCGAACAGCCTGCTAAGGTCATGGAGAAACTTATCGCGCAAGTTGGCAGTAATTTATTACGAAAAATAACATTGTTAGGGATATTAAAAAAACTTTTACATAAAACTAAATTTTTCTTTTTCGTGCTAAATTAATACAGATATTAACAGGAAGACTGACTTAAAAGATTCATAGATAACGGTGATTTGTTTTTTTTACTGCCATGCATGGAAAAACTTTTCTTTATAGCCATCTAAGTTACACAACAGAGCACAGAGGAAGCGAATTGTCCCTTACACAGCACGCACAGCACCTGTACTGAACTCGGCTACTAATGAAACTGTCCTTCCTTTTGTCTCTTTACCGCAGGGAAAAACGCAATCGGTGAGTATTACCTGCATTCTAAGGGCCCATTTATATGGAGAAAAGTTATCCCGGGTAAAAGGTCATTTGCCCACCTGAGCCACCCTCTTCGAGCCAACTTTCCTACATTTCCTTACAAAACTTAGGGTTCCGTTTACGTGAGAAACAACGGAAAAAGTTGGCTCGGCTAGAAAGGTAACCCGCCTAGCCGAGTCACCCTTTTTCGATGATAGGGTCACCCCCCTATAGCCAGACCAACTTTTCTCAATATAAACACTTAACTTGGTCAAGAGGAGAGAATCAGAGCATGCGCGAGTGCTGCTTTCAGGTCTTGGCTTATAAACTCACAGATACGGCAAACGGGTCAACGTTTTTCTCATAGTATACACTCGTTAAAGTTGACCGTCGGCTGGGATGATGACCCTCATTCCCCGTACAAAACTTCATATAAATGGGGCCTAAGTAATTCTTTAAATAACTTAAAATATAGGACCTTATCAGTCAATGTGAATAAATTGCGTTCTTTTATCATCGTAAGTGTTTTTTTTTTCTTGAATGCGGCGGGAAAGTTCGAGATAGCACATAAGATTCACTTACACTCTTGGTGAATTTTTACCTTTAAGGGTCATCGAGTCATTGGGCCATTCCAGATTGTATGAAATAAATACAGATGAACATATCATCATCATCATCATCATCATCATCATTATCGTTATCATGTCACATTACCTTTATAACCATAACGCAATCACCCTCACGTCGCCAAAGACACCGTGCAGCATCGATCATATGACAAACCAAAAAAGAACCAGAACACGTTCTTTTATCAGTTTAGAGGGAAATTATAACTCTAAGATTAAGATCAAAATAAGCGCGTTTGTTGAACTGTGTTTAATTGACAGCTAAATCAACAATTCCATTTTCAGCCCGTAGCGTTTGTTACGTTTGAGAATAGAGAACAAGCTGAAGAGGCAAAAGCTTCATTGCAGGTAAAAAGTTTGTATGATGATTTCATTTACCCGCTATCAAGTTAGTGCCAGGTAGTGGCTCTTCCTTATTCCTGCTCGTCAATGAGGACAGGGTCTTGCTACATTTTCACAAAGTAAGATCAACAGTATTACACTGATTTAGCAACAGAACGGGAACGTCAGTTGACGACGGCGCGCGCAATTTGAACAACTTGCTTAACCAATGGCACAACGGCAAATTGGGCACCGAAAGTCGTGTTTAGTCCTTCCCGCGCGTTTTGCCGTCGTCAACTGACGTTCCCGTCCTATTGCTAAATCAGCCTATTATTAAAAATGATCGCGCGCGCATCGCATGAAAGTCGGTTCTCATCACCTCTATGCAATAAGGTAATGATAACTATTTACAATGGGGTACAAGTATGAGCCAACAACAACAACAACATCAATTTATTCAGTTGTCAAATGAGTTAGGTCTATGTTACCCACAATTAGCGGAGCTATTCCAGGTGGGCAACAATACAATAATAATTAGTTGAAATAGGCACTACCAAGAAATAAATTCCGCCAGCATTCAGTTCCGATACTTCGAAACTCTGGCGGGGCTTGGCGCTCTAACTGCTTGGTTACGTTACCTACTAATGTTAGGCTGATTTAGCAACAGAATGGAAACGTCAGTTGACGACGGGAAAGCGCGCAGAAAGGACTAAACGCGACTTCCGGTGCCCAATTTTCCGATCTGCCGTTGGTCAAGCCGGTTGTTTGATTTGGGCGCGTCGTCGTCATCTGGCGTTTCCGTCCTGATGCTAAATAAGCCTATTATTTACAGCATAACGGTAGCTGCATGGTTTCCCCGCGAAACGGCGTTTGAGGAACAAGCGCAGAAATTCCATACTGATGATGCCTCACCACCCAGATGTGGGTAGTGCTTCTGATTGCTTGAGGGAAATATCCCTCACGACACGACCAATCAGAAGCACTACCCAGATCTGGGTAGTGATACGTCACCAGTGTGGAATTTCTGCAGTCGTTTCTCAGACGTTACATGTTTCGCGGATAAACCAGTGCAGTGCTGTGGTCGCGAAATATCGGCTGTTTTCTCACTGGCTAGCATAAAGGCATTATTACTGTAGTTTTTGCTTTTTCCTTATATGACACATGTATGCATTTTCCAGGGTGTAAGATTCGATCCAGATGCCTCTCTTACATTGCGATTGGAGTTCGCTCGTTCGAATACCAAAGTATCCAAACCGGTGAACAAACAAGCCGTGTTGGCCCCACACTTCTTTCCCAGGGAGCCTCAGTTCAGTAAGTCCATTCAGAATTCTTTCATTCATTCATTATATTTCATGAAATGAAATAAAATCCTTTCATTCATTCATTCATTCGCTCGTTCGTTCGTTCGTTCATTTACCAATACATTATTCCTGTGTTTTTTTCGTGTGTTTTAGTACCAGCAGATTTTGCAGCAGCTGGATTTTTTCCAACACCTCCAGAACCAAGCTTGGCGTACCCTGCGTAAGTGAAGCTAAAATAGTGGTAATTTACATAAACCGTACAACTGAAAAAAAAATTACATGTTTCTTGAAACCTCATTTAAGTATTCTACGAGAGTCTCAATGGGGTTAACCGTCAGCCTTAAAAAGGCTTAAAATTTAACCTTCAAAGGTAAAAAATGCAGAGTAATATTAACCGTCAAAGCGTTTCAAGGTATTTCAAATCTCACTATTTCAACTGATCTTCCCGTACTTTTGGGTCCTGAAGAATCTCTGAACTGGAAAAACCGCGGGCCAAGTTTTCAAAAGCACTCTCTTTGAACATTTCAATACCTTACAACTTTCTTATATCTTAAAATATTTCGAAAATTTAATGTGAAAGGCCAAGGCAACCTCCAAAACGCAACTGTTGATATTTATTTATACAGAGGCTGTTAATATTTCCTTTTTTCTCTTGGACTAAACTTTCACCAATAATAACCGTCAAGCGTCAAAATTGGAAAAAAATAACCGTTAACCGTCCAAGCTACCACCCCATTGAAACCCTCTTTTAAATACTCTTCCAAAAACGGAACCGAAATTTGGGTAATCAACATTACTGAGAACATTATTGGAGCAACTCGCCTCGTCTCCATGAAGTACATACTACCACAAGTTAGCATTGGAGTAATACAGTTAAAGTTTAAAAAGTTGAGAATATCAATAACTGCAAAATAACGTTTCTTTAGTCGATCACAAAGAACCAGTTTTCCAACGCGGGGGTCGGGCCTGTGACCCTCTGCTTACTAGTCCAGATTCTGCTCTACCACTAAGCTACAGGAGCCAGTTGCTTAAAAGGTAACTTGTGACGTGACTGAAACAAAGAGTCTGACCAGGATTAACGTCAGACGTTAGCATTTGAAAGACCTATAAATAACAACATGCTCAACCAGGTCGCTGTGTCCGCGGTTTTAGTAAGAACAAGGGTTGGGGTGGGGTGCTCAGTCTCGCGGGCTCATAAAACCTGGTCTGGGTCGTTCTTATTGAAGGATTTTCTTTGCATTTACGCCAATGAGGGGATTGATGCAACTGGTACTGGGAGACTAGCCGGAGCCAAAGTATACTTTTATGTCTCGATCTAGCTATGTGTTTGGTCTTTCGTTCTAACTGACTCTCTTTGTCTTTTGATTAACAGCCCAATATTTAATGACATCATGGTAGCAGCGGCGACGGCGCATAATCCTTTTAATCACCATCCGACCATCATTCAACAGCTGCAGGTAAGTTACCAAAATCACATAGGCAGACCTTCCAACTCTCACGGTTTGGGAAATAGCACTAATCCTAGGTACATTATGACAGGGAAAACTAAGTCTGCGAGAGGGATCTCGCGGCCATCTCTGTGTGGGCTCAACTTAGGAACGACGGCTTGCAACGTGGCGGCCCGATATGAGTCTTAGTCCTGTCTTCTTTTTGTTTCACTTTGTTCGTTCTTAAATTTTCCATAGGGTTTTCCTCAGCATCATTCTATAATTCCATTACCATCCCCAACAGCACCTCTTGGAGATATAACAGGAAATCTACCGTGTACTACCCTCTTCGTGGCCAACTTAGAAAAAGGATGCACTGAACAACAACTCAGAGAAATATTTGCAAGGTAAATCACAGGGAAAAGATTATATGAGGTTTACCACGACTGTAAAGTTTAGGGAAGAGACATGCCCATAATTTGATTTTTTGACATATGACTTCAAGAAAATTCGTTATGGCCCACCGCTTGCGAAATCTGGTCAGCATTTCAATACGGCCAAATGCCCCACTGGAGGTCAAAATGTTCAAACTCACGAGCCGCAATCGAGTGGTTTTACTGAAACGTTTGGAACATTTTGACGTCCGTTCTATGGTCGATAAGACTACAGACCATGGAAATCAATTCATCAATGTTTTACAGTAACATCGACAGTTTTTGAAGTTCAATAACATTGAATTTTCTTAAAATCGCACGCGCGAGAAAACCTGAGAAAACACGGCACCGTCAGTTCATTTCCATCTTCTGTACTCCACCAATCGGCGCACCAGAATCATTCAGTTACTGTAAAAAAGTTCTTCAGAGCCATCTTGATTTTATACTAGGGTTCTAAAACAGAGAAGGCAGGATACACAGTATGTTCATGAACTCCATTGAGCCATTCGAAATTTGTTGCTATGCACTTATTTATTTTTTAACTACCTTTTCAGAACACATGGATTTCGACGCCTAAAAATTCACGATAAAGGATCTGGAAGCCCTGTCTGTTTTGTTGAATATCAGGTACGTTCTTTACTTGCTTTCTTCCTACTGCACCGGTCTCAACCGGTATCTCAACTTAACTAAACACTTCTTGACATATTCGTGTGTGCATTGTACAGTGTAGCAACTATTTGAAATTGATAGAGATCCTCTGATACTTAGGCTCACACGATCAACGCGAAAGCCTTTGAATTTTTGGTGGTGGAAATCAATAATCAACGGGGGCACCCACCTAAAAACAACAATAAAGCACGAGTAAAGCTTTCTGAAGCCATTTTAAGCATTTTGGGAGATTTCTGGGAAAAATTTAAATGTTCCCCACGACCCACGTCCAGCAAGTCTGATGGAAGAGTTCCAGTCAGCAAGGTGCACCTACAACCTGCAACCTGACTTACTGGGAAGTTTCCCAGCAGACGTATGTCCAGACATTACTGCCTAGTTTGGGTGTGGTCAGAGAGCAAAATTAAGCCCTTCGGTGAGGGAGGGGGGGAGAGGTTTCTGGCAAATAGCACATACTACCTTCAAATCCCCTCAGACACCCTGAATTGTCTATTTCCCAGCAACAATTTCCTTCCAAGGACATATTAATTGTCCCATATCTCCTGGCCAGCAAAAATTTGTCTGAGGAACAGATGTTTTGAGCAGCAGATCCATCGGGTACCCGTGAATCAACGAGGGGGTTTTGGTCATATCGGTTTTTCGCACAGTCTTGCTACCCTTAGGACCCTTTTGTCTTTTCACGGTTATAAAACGCCGGAATTCTGTTGCTCATTAAAATGTAAAGTGCATTCAACTTTTTGGGTTTGTTGACAAAATACTACGGGAAACAATGTCTCTGTTGTAGGATATTCAAACGGCAGTCTTCGCGAAACATGTTCTTACTGGGTAAGTAGTTCCGATGTGCTTTACATGTGTAATGTTTTTCTCCTCTACAGAATGTAAGTTCTTTTCTGTGAACGCCATGTTCAGCCATTGTGTTTCAGTCAGCTAGAGAAAACAGCCGACTTTTCAAGTCGCTACCACTGATTACCTGGCGAAATGACGTTAGAGGAAGGAGCTCAGAAATTCCATACTGATGATGCTTCCCTCGGCCAAGTACTGGGCAGTGTTTTTGACCGGCTGAAGCAAATTTTCAACGAATCAAAAGCACTACCCCGATCTGGGTAATGACGCGTCATCGGGTATGGAATTTCTGCGCTCATTTCTCAGACGTCATTTCGCGGGGGAACCAATGGTGGCGTCTACAAATGTCAGCTGTTTCCTCACGCCGTAGTGCTCGATGAGATCTTGCCAGTTAGACATCTCTCTTGAAATAGTCTTATTGTTATTTTACACTTTGTCAAATAAGATTTTACATCAGGCTCTCTTGGGTTTCACTTCAGTATGCAAATCTAGAATACAGAGTTTGTTTTCGAACAACGCTGGTCAGTGCATTATATTACCGCCGCAGAGTTACCGACAAAAGTCCAACTCTCATACTATTTTCACGCTATACAAGATAGCTTTTGTTGCCGGCATACGGGCAGGGGCGGATCCAGGATTTTTTTTAGGAGGGGGTGCACTCGTCCCTTCAACACCAATAACCCGCATAGTTTTTTTTTTTGCAGAATACCAGTTGTATTAGAAAACCGCAGGTCATCTCAGGGGGAGGGGGGTTACGCACCCCTGCACTCTCCCCCTAGATCCGCCCCTGACGGGATATGGCTTCTGTTCACACATAAGAACGCTGATTTTGGCGCGATTTCTGTAACGGAGCGAAGCTGCTGCACGCCGGTCTCTAAAGCGGAGAGTCACAATCAGGCGTTCATACTTTACTAGATAGATTTTCGTGTCGGCAAGACAAGCTGTCCGGTAGAGTGTAAACAGAGCCGAAGTATTTCATAAATTCTAATGACTTTTCCATCTATTTCCTTTTTCTCAGAACAATTATGCCACCAGGAGAGAAGGCTGGTGGAATAAGAATCGAGTTTGCCAAATCTAAAATGGGTGAATCGTGAATGCTGAGTCACGGACACGCCATATTTTATTGAGGTATAGTATATTCACCGATATATTTGAATATTCTGAGAATAAATATCTTGTTTCTACGTTAATTTATTAAGTATAATCCCCCTAGTTACATTTAAGATTTCTGCAAGGCAACCGTTGTAACGTCAGTAGCCAGGAACCATTAATTTCTGATTTCCATACCACGTCTCAGCAGAGACGCTAGCTTTTCGTTTTTGTTTTTTTGTTTGTTTGTTGCTGTTTTTTGACTTGTTCAAAAAACAAATAGATACGTCAACCGTTGAAACAAAGTGACTCTTCAAATAAAATTTGCTTTATTTTTCATCTATTTTGCCAAGAAAAACTTGGTAAGGTGAATTACTAAGGTTAAATCAGACTTTATTTGAATTCATATATTTTTATTTTTTTATATTGTAGGGGTTGTTTTCGGCAAGAATGTATTGGTGAAACAGTGAAACTCTGAGAAGTAATATATTTTCCAGTCACAAGCTGTTCAAAATTCAGAAGCTTTCAAGAACTCTGGTTTAAAAGAAAATATTTTGTACGAATGAAAAAAAGTCCAGTTTTCTTGCGTAAAGTGGACTAGAATTTTGGTCTTTTTAACAGTATAACTTTGAAAAGCGAACCTCGATCTTTTTACTTCGAAAAGCCATAGGATAAAAATGGTTTTTATAAAAATTCCAAAGATTGAAAATTTGATACAAGAAGCTAGTCTTTTTTTCTTCTTCTCTTGTCCTCTCAAAAAAGTTCTTATGTTTTTCTTTTATTTTTCTTGAGCGGCTATTTTCTTACCGTGGTTAAGAAATATCAGAAATAAAAATCGATCTCGGAAGGTACAGTTTTTAAATTATTTGAAGGTGTGAGATTTTTTTCATCTATTTACAGGTTTCTGTGTAAGTTGTAAATATTGTTATTAATATTTTACATTAAAGTATTCAAAGAAACCATTGTTTTGGCATTGTTTATTTGTTCTCCCACGATCTTTACTGCCTGGCCGAATCAACCCACTTTACGCAGTGATGCTAACTCTCCCGCTTTTGGCGGGAGACTTACGCTTTTTTGCCTCGTCTCCCGCTCTCCCGCCGCTTTGGTACATCTCCCGTTTTTTACGTCCACTATAAATATTGAATACATAGTAGAAAATAAAACAGACCTAGTTTGAGATTTAGCCCATTTTTTGCTCAAAACTTGAATTTTTCTTATTCGCAGTACGGTTTCTGGGGCATTGCACGTGTTTAGTCATTGACAAAGATTATTCCTAGCGCCAAAACAATGATTTCGAATTTTGATAGTATGTGCATCATGTAAGACGTCATATAATGTCCTAGGTCATTCCCTTTGGGGGCTGGGTCAATTTTTCTGGGGGTGGGGGGGTTTCGTTGAAATTCCGGGGGATAGTGAAAAAAAGACAGTCTCCCGATTTTAGGTCTCCAGAGGTTGGCATCTCTGTTTACGAGCCCCGGTTACTACACTTTTACCGACCAGTCGATTATGCCGATGAGATTGGTTAGTAAGCAATCAGTCTGTGACAAACAAAAAAGATTTGTTGAAAGCCGTGAAAAAATCGCGTAATTTTGGTCATGATGGCGTCAGCGTACGTCAGTACTTCTCCCCCTTTTCCAAATCTATATGAAACGTCATGACAACCCACTTCCTTTGGCGGGAAATTGGATGTCGAACGACTTCACAGCAAACTGAAGATAACTAGGAAGCAAAAATATATACATAGACTTTATTGCACCTGCCATATCATTTGCTGGCTTCAAAGAAAAATAAAATTTGATTTAAACAAAAGACAATTTATTTCGTTTTTTTTTTGTAAATTTTAAAAACTTTGCCCTCTCAATGCATTCTGTCTAGTATGGATGCGAAGTATTTGTCAGTCTTGCAAGGTCCAGAATCAGGCAATTAAAAAAGACTGCACGCTTCGCTACTTATACATCTCCTTGGGTCATTCAGAGAATATTAGACATATTATATTCCGCATAACTGATATCATGCCATTCCGCAAGTCCACAAATTCATTGCACATTTTACCCTCACCGGGAAATCGTCCTACTTCACAACTCTTTTTCCCCCCGTTGCTGGTTTGGTAGCCTGCGTAGTTGGCGGGAATCTTGTGCCAGTGGTACTCGGGTTCCCACCCTTCTCGCGGTTCTGCCGCCAAGACAATACAGCACTCCCACGCTATTCTCGCCACCTACGCATGCAGGCCACTGGTTTGGCTTCACCGCGCGGTTTCTAGGCGTTGTCGAACTCCATCTCGTCTCAGTCGCAAACTGAAGCAACAGTTAAACCAGTTTGGATCAAAAACCTTGATTTAAGACTATTATGAAAATTTCAAGGGATATATTTCAATTTACAGGTTATATCTTGAAAATCAGACTAAATGTCTTGGGTGAAAATTGTGGGAGCTAAATAAATCATAAGAATGTAAACCTAAATTCAATCTCGTCTTGGAAACACAAAAGCTGATCGAAAGTGGTGCATGTCTACTTAAATGGGCCCAGTGTTCTGATATTTCTCTTGTGAACCGATACAAATACTTGTGTTACGGTCGCTAAATCTGTTAAAAAGATGTTCGTGAAAAGCTTTGCCTTTCCTTACGACATCTACGCATAAATATTTTACTTCCTTCCATTTCTCCTTTTCTTTCTTTTATCTTCATATTATCGATGAAGTGTCAAGAATACAGGTGAAGATCTAAGGTAATGAACATTAAAATTGTCACCCTTTGAAGAATATTCAATTTTACTCATCAGAGATATCTTCAGCGCTGCTTACATCCCGCGAGCAGCACTTTTGAGACATTGCGACCGTTTTTTAACACTGGGCTTGGAGAGCGGTCAATCGATCGATGACTTGGGGTTTTTGTAGACACAAACCAGCAAACCAACACTGTTTCGACAGCCTTTCGGTGCCCCTTGTATTTTTCCATTCCCTGCACATTTATTCTGATTTGAAAAACTGTTAGAAAGGCTCTGACCGTAAAGGTGGATTTCCGCTGTCATGTAATTTTTATGTGCGGACGCTTGTAGATTTTACGCCCGTAAATAAGTTAGGAAGGTTAAGCGTATACCCAAAAGTTGAACCTTGCACAACTTTTGCGTTTACGCGTACCTTTTCATACATTGCCTCTTCTTTCATCTACGCACGAAAACAAGGAAATATTGCGCGACAGTGGAAATCAAACCTAACAAATCATTTATAAACTCGGGCGTCAGGGTTATGAAGGAAAGTTAAACACTCGTCAACGGTTTCCTGACGGTGCGAAACAGCTGTGGCGACCATACCTAAGGTACTTCCTTTCCGTTTGCATACAATATCCTATCAGTGTTCCTTTCACCTGTCCGTTATTAGAGGTGGCGAATTTAAGCATTGCTTTGACTGTTTTGAGTGGTTCCTCTCTCTCGAACTCTCTATTTTATTTATTAATCGTTACCTTTTTGAAGGAGAAAAATTGTAGTTTTCACTGTGATATGTGGTCAGGAGGGGCTGAGAAATTTTACACATCCCTTCAAAATTATTTTTACCTGTATTAATTAACGGTGATGGTGTGAAAATTTTGAAAATTTAGCTCGATTTAGTCTCAGCTTGCGGTTTGTTTGAAATTCTCATTGTTAGTTTTACTAGAATATCGAAAAATATTTTGTAATGTACGTCAAGACTTGGCATTTGCATTTGATAATAACCTGTTAAATTTTAACGCTGTCCTCGACACAGTGTTGAGGCACTCGGACGTGAGTTTGGTTTTTATTTCGTTTCGATTTCATCAGTTTGCTACATACAGATTAATCGCCCTGGAAATTTAACTCACAAGCTCAAAACCTTCCTATACCGAATAGCTCTTCTTGCCGACACGCAAAGGCTACCCGCTATTGTATGAAAACCTATCCGATATATGACTCTCGGTGCAGCTTCTCTCCGTTACAGAAATGTCGTCGAATCACAATTATTAGTATGCGTGAACAGAAGCCATATCTGGAATGGTCTTCGTGCATGCGCAAAACCTATCCGGTAGTGCGAACATGACCCAAACCATCAAACTGAAAAAGCTAGGCTTGTATTCTCCATTTCGAGCTTTCAACTGACTATCTGACCTTGGGAAGAAAACAGTTTTAAACATTGAATAAAAAGATGTGTATTAAAGGACGTATAAGGAGACAGGTTCAGATTATTAAATCACTTGACAAATCATTGACGTTGATTAGGTTTGGTAGTTGAGATTTGTGAAAATTGTTGCGATCGATTTCCGTAATAAAAATATTGGAGTTATAGCTTTACTTAGATTTTAAGGAGGACAAATGCGCTAATTATTTCGACAATTTCATTATGAAATTACAGGTGAAAATCTTTATGAAGTCAAGATGATCTAGTTTGCGTGCCATAAATAAAACATCGGCGAAATTCTGTGAAATAAAAGTTAACATCATTACACCAGTGACTCAAGCTTATAAACATTCTAGTGTTAATAGCTAGTGACCTCAATATTGTGAATCCTTTTAAAAATTAACGATGTTAAATCAATTGTCTGCAAAGAGCTTCAACGCAGAATTCCAAGTAATATTTTTTTATTAACATAAACATAATTAGGGAAAAATAGGTTTCAATTGCTTCTGTTGGTACTATACATCGTAATAAAATTTACCACGGTTGAGAATCCGGCGTGGAATAACGCAATTTTACAAAAGGAAAAACAACAGGAAGCCAATCTGTTTACCCAACAGAATTACAATTCCACAGATTATTTTCGTTACAAAGAAACTTTTTCCGTATTATGAGAGTCCTTATTATTTTTTTCCTTTTTTATTTTTTATGTTCCAATGTCACAAAGTCACAATGTTATTGCCGACGTTGTAAGCACAATGGGTTGTAATAAAATCACAAATCATCCAGCGTGCTTCTGCAAATTATCATTTTACTTTTCATAGTTGCTAGATATGACCATGATCTTCGCTTTGACGCAGCTGAGATCAAGAACTAAAGCTACTTGGGCGACCAATGCTTTATAAGGCAAAATTGGATTAACTTTAAGATACGTTTATGTTGCAAATGCATAATTGCAAATCAATGTAAATTACAGTAATCTTCACTTTCCTATGATTTTATCTTTGAAATGAGTTAAAATTTTGTGCTTTTTAAAGATACCTTAATTCAAAAACGCTTATCTAGATATATAAAGATGTAGAAACTATTATGCCATTTACAGAATCGGGCAAAAAAGTGTACCAACGTGCGTGGATTAGAATTACAGAGATGACGGTAGCGGGTCAATAAAGTGGCAGTTGTGCCCAAAGCCTCTGTCCAACTGAAAAAATAATCTAAGCAATGCATATGTTAGATTTAGAGTAAAAACAAACTAAGCATTGTGTTATTTGCTACAAGGTTTTTGATATCTTATGGTTGCCTAGCTACGGTGTTTAGTTACACCGACATAGGACATGAAGTTTTGAGGTAAATCGCAATTTTATTTTTTAATTTGAGTGGAAAGGAAATTTGCAACTTAAAGAGTACTGAGTAGAATTTTCAAAGGCAAGAGTTCTTTAAATATTAAAACATAGGCGCGGTCGGTGTTAAGAATTTAAATTTTCTTCTTTCCAGCTGCCAAAACAACGGCATGGGGCTATCTTTTTAAGTTTGTAAATCATACAGGGTGGATTTGAATGCGCAAGTTTATTATGTTCCACTTTCACCTATCGTGATGGGAAAAATTGAGAAAGGTTCGAAAAACACTATTACCAGTTATTTTCCCATGACTTGCTATAACAACCCCCAAATTATGAACCAAAATAAACTAACGTTATGCAATAACAGGGAAAAATCAAATATTTGCGATAAAAAGTTACATTTGCATAACAAATGACCATTTTTTGCTTTGTTTTTTTTTCCATTTCTGCCTCGGTGAGGCAATCGAAAAAAAGGATTATTCAATTTTAATTTTCCATACACCTCAAGCCAGAAGAGAGTGGAACAATGGAAAGTGTTTGCTTATGGAAAAGAAAAATTGTCGATTCAATACATTTGTAAACGTGTTTTGCCGTGAAAAGCGATGCCAATGGAAACCGCGAAAAATTCTTAAGCGATTATTTGATGAGGCTTTTAAGGACACCACAATTGTCACCCACCTAAATTGACATCGCACGCCGCTTTGTCTTCGGGATGGCCATGAATATATAAACGTCAATCGAATTTCGCAGCTAATAAGCAGTCAGTGTGAGATGTTGACATTGCAACCAAGGTGGTTTAAAGTGGTTCAGATTATATTAGCTAGGTCTGGGTGTCGTGTCATTGCTTCAATCCATGCGAATAATTTTGGGAGTTAAGCGCGTTGTGAAGTGGAGAACTGAGATTGACTAACAGCACAAGCACCTGAAAGGGTGCGAGAGAAAAGTTTCGAGAAATTCTCGAAACATGGAACCAATTTTCAGAAAGCTCTGGATCAAGTTGACCGTCGGCCGGTTAGGCAGATTATAATATATTTTCGACTGTTGTTTGGGAAGGTACGCGAGAAATGGAAAAGGTATCAGAGACACCAAAGGCCGACAACCCTTCGACACAATGCGAGAAATTCGAGACTGAATCAACCAAGATGACAAAAAGGATCTTAAGGTCGGTGGATAAAGATTTGGTCGTGCCGAAAATGTCCTTTTTTTTCTTTTTCATGGCGACTGGCGCCTTCCTTCCGTATCTTGGTGTGTTTTACAAGCAGCTCTGGCTCTCTGCTCGTCAGTCTGGTATCCTGCTCGGTGTTCGTCCGTTTGTCAAGATGCTTTGTTCTCCTCTTTGGGGTATGGTTACCGACATTTGCAACCGACCAAAGCTGATTCTTCTAATCTCTATTCTAGGAACGGCTGTGGCCCATTTCTCCCAGAGTATCGTCTCACCATTTAATCTTCCATGTTACCCCGAGCCGAACAACGGTACGAACTTCAGCTTCAATGGCCATAATTTCCCACGAGGATATGCGGCGACCGATCGCTCCTCTCGTCGAATTGGTTTTCCGGAAGCTGAAAGTGGTTCTCGAGATGGACAACCTGTTCTCACGAGTAGAGGAAAACTAAATATTTTACAAAGTTGGTCTAATGAGACCACAGCGTCCCAACTCTCAAGTGATGTGGAAAATATGGTGGATTCTGTTGATTATAACGTGGACAGGAAATTTCAAAAGGAATCAGATGAAGTTTACCACCCACACAGCTCTCGAACAGTTCGCGAAGTCGAAATAATTGACGAAATCGAGCCCAAACATGAAGATAAGCCGCGGCAGTTGCCTGGTGAAAAGCAATCAAGAATATTGACAAAAAACAAAAGGCGCAAAAAGCCAAACATGAAAAATGACTTTCGCGTGAAAGATAACCAAACAATATTTATCACACTACTTGTGATCGTCTTTCTTGGCGAGTTCATCGCTGCACCGGCTCCAATGTTAACGGACAGCGGAACGCTTAGCATTCTGAGCGGACGCGAACACGAATACGGCCGACAGAGACTTTTTGGTTCCATTGGATGGGGAATAGGGTCTCTCCTGTCCGGTGCAGTTGTCACCGCTTTCAACTCATGTCCGTTCGAAGACAGTATCAACTATGTACCATGCTTCTATGTCTTTGCCGCGTCGATGATTCTGGATTTCTTCGTGGGGCTTTTTTTCAGATTTCCATCTGCACCACCAAAACACGAGACAACCACCGAGAGCGAATTCTGGAGAGGAGTGAAGATCTTCTATAACCTGAAAAACGGTGCATTTATTTTTACGCTGCTTTTCCTTGGCTTCTCCCACAGCCTCCAGTTATCGTTTCTGTTTTGGTTCCTTCAAGACATCGGTGGCACACCAATCCTCTTCACCCTAATCGTGGCCGTTAACTGCTTATCCGAGGTGGTCATGTTTTTCATGGCAACCTACTTTGTGCAGAGGATTGGTCACGATGCCGTGCTTTATACAGGCTTGATTTGCTATGGGCTGAGATTTCTGCTATACTCTTACCTGAAAGAGCCCTGGTGGGTTTTACCTTTAGAGGCTCTGCAAGGATTTACATACGGAGGCGTTTGGACAGCGAGTGTGGCATACGTCGGCCCACAGCCAGGTAAGGCTTGGTTGGTTCTCCTGTCAACACTCTATGGGCGCGATCCATTCAACCAAAATTTCCGGAAATTTCGGTCCAAAACTCGATGGATCAGTTCGGTCCAATCGGAAAAGTTTCGACAAAACTGGTCCACTTTTTGAGGTGGTCCTCTTTTCCCGGTCGGACCGGTCTGAATTTTGGTTGAATGGATCGCGCCCTATAGGTGTTTCTGATGAAAAAAAAGTCTCGAAGATCGCTATTGACGAAAGGATCTTAGAGGTAATAGCGGCGATCGCATTGCCATTCCAATCAGATTCAAGAACGTTATTGGGGCGATGACCGCAAAGAAATCTACCAAAAAAATTGCTGCACGTTCAGCATTTTTAGTTTTGCTTATTCAACCTTTTGCCTTTCTATTTTCTTGTTTCCGTCGTTGCTGTCGTGGTTGAACGGGCTCGTTAATGGCTTTACTATGCAAATCGATTCTTGATATGCAACGGTTTCGTTGAAAACCGACGATTTGATGGAAGACGAGCGACGAAAACGACGTCCGCAGATACCCGTAGAGAGACTCGTACTTGTAAAACGTCAAGGCGAGCTGGACGGGGTTTATCCGATAACTAAGAACTGGCCAAAATTTCATTTACCAGCTCAGAAATGACGCCTCTTTTCTGATAGCTGCCGATCGAGATTTGCGATCTAAAGCAAAATCTGACAGCTAAATGAAATGGACGGACAGCTAAGTTAACTGTTAACTGATAGTTGAGTCATCGCGGAAATTTTTATTGATAACCATGGATTCCAGTACCACCATACAGACCCAACTTGTCACCTTTGTGTCTATAGAAATTCAACGTAACTTTAAAACATGGAAAACTAGTTTTCTTTTTTTTTTCTTTTATTCATAAAACGTTCTTATTTTTCGAAGCTGATTTCGTCCGAATAACATCAAAACCAGACTGAATCCAAATCCACTTTGGTTAAAAATTAGATTATATTCCAATTAAACCAGAATCATAACCAGCCACTCAGATGAGGCTTTCATATGAAAAAACACTTATTAAAGCATTAGCGGTCACGTACATTTCTAAAAGAAAAATGTTTGTTTATAAACGGCCATTTTCTATAGTGAGGATCTGAACAAATAAACTCAAGCAGATGGATAAGTTTTAATAACTGATAATTTGTTCTGGAACTGGAATACTTTAATTTATTAGGAATACAATTGCAATCATTAAAATGCGAATGACCCCATTTTTAGCTCGCGAATCATGATGATAATTTGACTTCTTTTTATACCATTTTTTAGCTATATATTCATTTTCATACAATCAAAAACTTACAAGGTAAATTTAATGCACTACAAGCAGTCCGTTTTAATTTTTTTCATTTTTCGAAAACTGATGTTCTTACCGACAGCATGTAATTCTCTGCTTCACTTTATTATTCATTCAAAATATTTCACCGCCTCTGATTGGTTCCAATCCCCCGGCTAATCAGTTCTTCATAACCAACTGGCGCTTACCATATTCGGAAGATGGAACCAATATACGATCGATTCGACGTTACATTTGCCTGAAAACGAGGCTGTTTGGGCAACAGTGAACTTTAAAAGAATGGCATTCACGGCTATCCGTTGACGAAATAGCTGAATTTCTGACTAACTGGGAGCAAATGAATGAATGTTATCTACTTTTTAAGGAGTATCTCAAAGAAAAAACGTCTGTTTATATCCTGAAACCTTGCCAAGAATTAGGCCAAAGTTTTCGAAGAAATTTTACGAATAGGTAAGCTTGTCAAGAACTTAGAAATGTTTTGAATGAATAATATAACAAGTAGTGAAATCGGCTTTCGTATCATGCCAAGAATTATGCTGATCTCGGAGGCTGTAGTCCACCTCGGCCAACATTCTCCTCGATCTGCATAGTTCTTCACATCACGGCTCAGCTTCATTCAATAATCTGAATAATTGCTAAATAACTAGAATAAAAAACAAAGTTATATATAAACGTACCGACGCGCGTTGATGACTGGTTCCGTCGTAGCCTGCGAGCAAGCTCTCGGGCGTTCTCGCGAGACTCGTTTCACTCGCCCAAATAGGAGAGCTTGCTCCCGGGCTAGTTCCGTCGTATCCGGGCCGTTTTTATACTAAGAACGCATTATCCGTCTAGGCGAACTTGGGCAAACATAGTAGTTGGTCTGGTTATGCGTCTCAAGTATAAAGATGGGCACAAGACGCATTATGTGTCTGGACAAACTTTCCTTCGAAATACTTCTTGAACGACGCACTGCGAAAGGTAGCTCGTCTAGACGCGTAATGCGTCTTGTACCCGTCTTTATACCAGAGATTCATAACCAGACGAACTACAAAATGTTTGCCCAAGTTCGTCCAGACGGATAATGCGTCCATAGTATAAAAACGGACAGTATGTAAACGTAATAACAGCAAACTGTGATTGTTTCCAGGTTCCGGAGCGACAATTCAAGGCATAATTCACGGAGTGTACTGGGGCCTAGGGATGGCAGTAGGAGGAGTACTGGGAGGAACAATGGTTCATGTAATGGGTGCACGAATGACATTTCGTCTTGAGTCGGTTTTATCATTTGTAATCCTTGTTCTGTTTTTCGCCGTCAACAACTTTTACGAGAAAAGCAATTGGTATTCGCAGATTCCATCCGAGCCTCAAGATCAGGAGACTGGGGGCCAGGAGAACGATGAAGAGGATCATGAGAAATAATTATTGAACGAAAAAGAAAGTAATATTAATTTAGATTTTAAAATCAATCCGGTTAACAACACGCTATTGTGTTGAGGGAAAATTATTTTTTTCATTTTTTTTTGGTGTAATTAGTAAGTATACGTACTTGCAAGTAAATTATATTTATTGTGGATCGCAGGAGCCTTGCTCTTGAGATTGTTGCTATTTATGGGTATGAACTGATAAGATTTTTTTAGGCAAGAAGTAACAAATTATTTTGGCAGAAATTAATTTATTTTCACCTCAGTTTTGATTGAAGAATTGTGAACGCGAGAAATTGATACAAAAAAGTATTTGAGGGGCGAGGGCATAAGAAAACCAGTTACAATTCACGTGATATATCTCTCGGCTGTCTATTCTCGTACCTATATCACCCACAGCCGAAAGGCAGAGTGAGATCTAATTACGAGATTAGCAATGTCTGGGCGCCGTTTTGCAGGAGTGTTTCACAGTCTTGACAAGAGTTTCCCTGAGACTGGGATGCTCGTCGTCTCACTCTGGTGTGTAAATTGTTAGATTTTTTTGTAAATTTTTGGTTTTGGGATCCGGAATCTTGGCTCTGGAATCCGGAATACGGCTCAAAAGGATCTGGAATCCCAATGACGATTGGAATCCAGAATCTAAGTACCACTGACGAAGACTAGAATCCAGTAACTGGAATTTCGAATCCAAGGCTTGTAATCCAGAATTCAAGACTGTCTTGGATTCTCTTACCTGGGGCGAAGGTATATAAATGTCTATAAATTGTAATGCTTTTAGGACTATGTTTGGTCAAGACAATATTTGCCCTTGGTTGCCATATATGGCACGAGTTTAGACCTGCCATTTATGAAAATATGTTGAGCTATAACATGCAACACTTTTTCATACCCGTTTGTGTCATTGGTGAACAATAAAAAATGGTAACGGGACTGAGTAATCAAGTATGTATAAATAAAACGAGTGATTTAAAAAAATCGAATCACTACCGCGTAGCGGGGAGTCCGTTTTGTTTTTAAAATCACGAGTACGACTACAGACCGAATTGAACGACACGAAGTTCTGTTACCAGTTAATCATAAATTATTAAATATGAGAAAAGTTAAGCCTTTTTGAAAATTTAGAACACAACATCTTTTGAGAGTTTTTTGCTGGACGTGAAAAAAGAAGACCGAGAAAAACTAAAAAGAAAGCGGGCACTCTCAATGGCGCCCACTTTAATTACTTAGATCTAGTTAGGCATGACGCGTACTGTACTATTACACCTTTGGCTTATTAATGCTGCGTGAAATCAGGGCTGCTTATAGCCAATCAGTTTAAAGAATTTTATTTTATTTATAATTTAAGGAGTTTTAGAGAAACGAAAGGCTTAGCTGACGTATGGATCGTGACTCAACTATTAAAATTCTTTGTTCTCATATTCCACTTGACATTTTTTTAGTCAACTTCAGGTGCTCATATGTAATCTAATGGCGCCATCGGCTTTTACTATCAGAAAATGTAAAACAAAAGAGGCAAGGCTGATTTTACAGTCGGGAATATACACCGCCATTTATCTACGGTCTTTCATATCCAAGACCCTTTGTTTGATATTCATGTAAAGGGGAGCAGCGTAAAGTGGGGTGAGTGAGCAAAACAGCACTGAGATTTGACTGTATACCTCATTGAAGACCTCCAGCCCCCTCCCCCCTCCCTCCTCCGCGGCCCCATTTCTCTCTCGCGTCACCCACTTTGCCTAGCTCCTCGAGAATTGCGCCAGTTTACAGCGAACAGCAAACGTAAATTAGTACCACGTGACTATTTTTTCCCTCTACTCGAGACAAAAATAAGCAGTTTCATCTCAGTGTTATCCATGAAAATTATTTTAAACTTGTTTTCTAATTTTAGAAATTTTCAACCGGAATCTCACATTTGCTCTAAACACTCCGAGTATTAAGGTGGTTTGCTACCGTCACGTAATTTTTACGTGCGTACGCAAGTGAATTTTACGGGCGTAAATAAAATAGGGTCGATGCATGGAGAGTCGCGCGTAAACGTAAATGTTGAACCTCAGTCAACTCTAACGTTTATGCACGTCTTTCACACATTGCCTATTTTTTTACGCACGTAAAATTTACGTCTGTACGCACGTAAAAATTACGCAACAGTGGAAATCCACCCTTAATGCATCAGTCAATTCCAGCTGCGCCCACCCTTCCCCCCCCCCCGGGCTACTGCGGGGCAGTTGCCCGCCTTGTCAGTCCCGGGGGTGGGGCTTTTGCAAATTTTGTGCTGTCCGGGGGCCGGGCATTTGCCAACCCCGGCAAAATTCCTAAGCTTTTGACACGCACGCGGTTTCCTATCATAATATAACTACACAGAGGGCGCAACTGGAATTGACTTATGCATACAGTCGACTCCCGATAACTCGAACCTCGCGCTAACTCGAACCAAAATCGATTTCCTCAGAGTTTCCGTCATACATTCACTGTAATTTTACCCTCGGTAACTCGAACCCTCGATAACTCGAATTCCCGCTAGCTCGAACCAATTTTCGTTTCCCCTCAGGTCGTTTTCTATACAATTTTACCCTCCATAACTCGAACCATGTTTTGAGCCCTTAAAAAGTAGGGTAAAAAGCTGTCTACTGGCGTCCCAAACATTGAATTTTGGATTTCCTATTAACGTGCTCTAGGAGTATAGTTTATTAGTGGAGGCTGATGTTGATTGTCACAGGCTAACGTGAAGAAGCTTTACTTCTCGGCAATAAAACGCATGCTCTATTTAGGCTATGTTTTGTTACGTTACGTTCTGATTAATAATCTAGAAGTATCTTGTAATTTTCACTTGACATTTCTACAATTAAATGTGATTAAAATGTTGACTGTGCAGTAAAATTTGTTTTTTACCTTACTCTCGGCTATCATTCTTCGAGCTCCCGATAACTCAAACTCCCGATAACTCGAACTTTTTCCGATTTCCCTTGAAGGTTCGAGTTATCGGGAGTCGACTGTAATTAAGGTCCCGCTATTATTTGATGCGAATCTAGGTATCCATCTTTCCAAAAGCCTAGTTGAATTTCTCTTTTAAGGTGAGCATTTATTGCAGGACTTATAGGGATAGTATATTTTGCGGAAAGATATGAACTGATTAAAAAGACTGGAGCAAATTGTTTCTGAGCTTGATTTTACGACGTTCTTGTTTTTCTTTGAAATTTTACGCTTGAGTGACGCAAACTTTCTCTTTAACAAACCACCACTGCCGTTTTTGCTTCCCTCTATCGAGACACTGCTTTTGTACATCTGGCTTAACTGCCTAAGAATTACTAGTTTTTTCCCAGTTTCTCACTCTTTACTTAATCCACGTATTCATTTATTAGCCTTAGTGCCAATGGCCTTCTAAGCGCAGATCCCACTTTTTGGCTTCGCTCTTTTGTAGTTCAGATCATGCCGTACATACTTTTAATACGAGGATATCCGATGCGATTCGTTGAAAAAGAACGAAAAGCTCTTTCGCATAATAAACTATAAACCATATACACACGTGTATACATTTAGCAGCTCATTTTTAACCAAGAAGCAGAACATTTTCGAAAATCTACTACTTTAAGGCAGTCTATTTATTCCCATTTGCTGTTTGTCAGCTTATATATTATAAAAAATGCCCTAAGGTGCTTTACGCATTCCACTCCAATTGATCTGGGAGATTCTAAGTATAAAAGCTGTTACTGAAACTTGGTGAAGAAGAAAATAATCTTATATGATAGAACAATGAACAGATGCAATGGCGTTCAGAACAGTGTTAGTTAATTCTCGCTGAAACAAGTAGACGATAGAAGCCTTATTAGAAAACAGATTTGGGCGCATGCTTTGCTAAATCAACAACCAATAATAAAATAAACTATGCACACTATTTTAAAACACAAAGCAAAATTCCATTTCATGTTTTTCTTTGGCATTGATTTATGTGTACCAGCCTGCTTCCTAAGTGCAATAACCTGTCATATAAAAATATAAATTAAAATAAACCGTGAATTCAAAAAAATTAACTTGCTTATCCAAGCCCAACACTTTTCTTAAATCCGACCTCATTTGTGTGGGGTGACCTTATAAGAGATCATATGGACAGGGGGCTTCATGCCCCACCTAAGCGAGTTACCTCACCAAACTGAGGTCCCCCACCTCCATGTAATTAGGTCCTTGGTGACTGATAAATACTCTTCTATAAAATGACACGATAAAACTTCTCGCTCCTTTTTTCTTTTGATTCTCTCCAGTACTCAGCTTAAGCAAAAGTAGCGTCATGTGCGCAGTTCAAAGATTTTCGGCGCAAGCTAAAATCTCCCAGACACTAAAAGGAAAAGAAAAGTCTTAGATATCCTATTAAAAACTGCTAGAAACGCGCGCATGAAAGATCAGTTTTAAAGTCGAGAGTTGTTATGCGTTTTATCTGTTTATATAATTACATTATGAAGAAACTGTCAGTGTCAGTATTTATATTTTTGATGCAAATAGAATATTTTAATTTCCCAGAAAATGGAGCTTATCCCAAGGGTCTTGAAAATGAGATAAAATCTGAGTAAGACTTCAAGTCTCTGTGTTAACGAATCACACAAAATTAGGTTGTGATAAAAAATACGTGATCAAAGCAGAGCGTACGAGAGACATAATTTATGCAAAATCTATACAAAGCGCATTATCTTTGCGGTTGACTGCCCTCTGAATGCTATTACCATATTATGTTACGATGGGCGATGAATTACAACTTGATTCACGCATATAAATGACATTACAGCCTATGTGGAGAGACTATTTGTATCCAGTTTACCAATATGACTTGCGGGTTTCCAAATATTATCGGCTAAATTTGGCCATGGCTTGTGGAGACAATGATTCCTAGTTCATACGAACCAATAGGATCAGACTCCCCCATCGAAAACGGCGAAAATGTGGACGGCGAAGGAGACGATGCCTCACAACAATCGAAATGGCGGAAAGCCATTCAGAAGCTTCGCCAAGTAGACAAGAGTTTCTTCGTGTCAAAGGCTTTCTATTTCTTCTTCTACACAGCCTTGGGGTCGCTGTTTCCATTCTTTAGCCTGTTCTACAAGCAGTTATGGCTAACTCCCGGACAAATTGGTCTTTTGCTTGCTTTGAGACCTGCTGTAAAGCTCGTCTGCCTGCCTTTGTGGAAAATGGTAACAGACAGGTTTAGCAGACCGAAAGTGGTGTATTTTATTTCGATTCTAGGATGGACTATTGGTTATTTCGGACAGTCATTAGTTTACCCAACAAATTTGCCATGCTATGGGTATCAATCACTCCACTCCACGACTTCAAGTCCAAATATCTCAATTTCAAATTCAAGCGTCGTATCCGTAAACAACATTACAAGAAGGTCACTTCTTCAAGACTCGTACCCTTCGGAATCTTTACAAAAATGGGATCCTAGAAATTATCGTCCCTTAAGCCGGAAAGAGAGAGACCAAGGATATCTCTTAGACAATGCTCAATCAACAAATTTAATAAATAATTTTGCAAGGGCGCCAACTTTACAGCTGAATGAGCCCACAAAGAACAAAGGAATATATGCAAATTTGAAAGGAAAAACAGGTAGACTTAATGAGCCAAGTGAAACCTATTCTCGCTCCCTTGAAGAAGGGAAAAACGTAGAGGGAGTTACAGACGCCGATTCGCAGGAAAATGACCACGAAGTCGAACGAGAAATTAAGGCAGATACCGCGACAAGTGGAATAGTTGAGAGGAAGAGTAATGATGTCATAAAGGTGTATGAAAAAATGGGCTCATTGATCCCAAGCCCTAAGGAAAATGACGACTTCCGAATAAAGTTTAACACTTGGATTTTTCGATGTCTGATCTTAATTGTGATTTTGACCGAAATAATTACAACGCCAACTCCCATGCTAGCGGACATTGCCATTGTTCAATCTCTTGTTGAAACTAAAAGCGAATATGGAAAACAACGATTGTTTGGTTCACTTGGTCTGAGTCTCGCCGCCATTCTTGTTGCTGTGTGGGTGTCTTTAAACACTGACTGTCTCTTCACAGACACAATTGACTATACACCGTGTTTCTATTTGTTCGAGATCGCCATTGGCGCTACGGTTCTTGTGTCTCTTTTCGTAAAGTTTGACCGACCTGATGGCGAGGCGAGTAATGGCTACGAATTCCTGGACGCGATGAAGTTGTTCAAGAACTTCAAAAACGGCGTATTCCTTGTCACGTTATTTGCGTTCGGCTTCTTTCACAGTCTCCACTATGCATTCCTGTTTTGGTATCTCCAGGATCTCGGAGGAACCCCGGTCCTATTCAGTATCATTTTGTTGATCTATTGCCTAGCTGAAGTGGTGATGTATTTTGTGTCTGGGTACGTGGTGGAAGCCATTGGTCAACAGGGAATGATCTGTTTAGCCTTCGCCTGTTACACCGCTAGATACCTCATGTATTCCTACCTGAGGGATCCTTGGCTAGTGATACCAATGGAAATGGTTCAAGGCATTACATACGGAGGGGTGTGGTCGATTGCTGCTGTTTATGTAAATGCACCTCCAGGTCAGTGATCAAGATCTGAATTCTCTATATTATATCACTACTTTAATCAAACCTGAAGATGACGAGAATAAGGGCAATGATCAACAATGCAAAATGTCTTGATATTTTGAACAAATTCTGCGCACCCACAGATTACAACGAAGTTCGCTCTACCTTCCCCACTCGACCAAGTTTTTGATATCGGTCTACTGTATCTTTTCAAAAGTAGTATTCTGCCAGCGAAAATAAGCAATTTTGTCTTTCACTCAGTAATACCGTATAATTTTCACAACGATACCTGGTGTCTTGTTCGATTTGAGCTTATTTCCTTTTTTGAGGAGAATTGAGCCTGGAGCCTTTTGGTTTGTGTTTAACTTAAAGACACGCCATGAGTTTATTCTCTTTGAGTTCTGGTCTTCAAAAGTTGACGAAATTGATAGCTTGTATTGTAATTGAAGAGAATACGCTTTTGTAATATAATTCAAGTAAAGAGTAATCTGTATTTGTGTTTCGCTTATCGCGAACCTCAGTTCAGTATAACATCCATCCTGTTAAAAAAATTCTAAAAAAAATTTTGAAAGACACAATCGAACCTTCACTAACGGCCGTTGTTAAGTCGCGAATCGAGCTCAATAAACGGTTACATTATACGCCCTTAGGGACGGACCATTCGAAAACTTATGGTATGGGTTTGGGGGGGGGGCGAATTACAAAAATAATATTCGCGCAAGGGAAAATTTAATGAAAAAAAATCATGCACGCCAATTAATCCTAAAAAATATTCATGCTATGGCCTAAAAAAAATTCATACAAGGTATTAGATGACGAAACAAAATTCCTGCGGCTCGAAAATTCCCCTCCCCCTCCCTATGACTTTTCTAATGGTTCGTCCCTTAGTTCCGTTAATAGTCCTCCTACTAGTCCGTTCACCACTGTCTTATATGTAAATCAAGTCCCTTTTTGTTTCGAGTTTTGCTCATTTCGCATCTAATTATCCTACATTAAGTCCCTTGAGACCAGACACTACAGCCACCTCTCTACAACGGCCATTTTTGGGGGGCGGATAGTCCGTACATTCACTCTTGTTTCGACTTCTTTACAACGGCTATCTCTCTACAATAGCCATTTTCTTCTGTCCCCAAGGTGGCCGTTGTAAAGAGGTTTAACTGTATCACAAACTTGAAACTGCGTGAGAAAGGTTTGTAAAACAGAGCAGGAAAAAGGGATAGAACTGAGACGTAAATGCGAAGTGACTTTGGGTTTATCTAAACGATACTATGGAAAGAAGCTTCAACAAATCAACAATTCCGGTTTGTCTTCCTTTCATTCCCTTCTCCCAGATAATTAGGTTTCCAGTTCGCCACCACCGCTGAATAAAAACTTTGAAGAAGCTTGTTTACGATGTTAGCCTTCTTCTGAAGTGAATACAACGGTATTCACAGATTTCAGCGAGAAGAACAACTGTTTAGGACTCTTCCTATTCAGTTTTAATTTTAAATACGAAAGTGAATATTTCTACCTCCCTTGTCCTAACGTTTGTTGTTTTGTCTTAACCCTATAGAGGCCTCACATATGGTTCAAAGTATTTTGCACGGTAGCTACTGGGGGCTTGGAATGGCACTGGGCTCAGGGATCAGCGGCGTTATCATCGGTGTTGTGGGGGCCCCAACGCTTTTCCTTATATCCGCAGGAATCTGTTTCTTGCTTTGCATGTTTCACTTAGGAATTGATATCCACAACAAAATGAAATTTTTAGAAGAAGAACAAGAACACAGACTTCGGGTTCAACGCGGAGAGACGATCATAAAACAGCCCAAGAGGAAGGAGAGGGAAAGCGATTTCATCGGGGCAGCGGCCGCTCCTCTTGTGCCATGCCTTCTCTACGCAAGATACAAGTATGATCTATAACATCAAACCAAATGTGTCAAAGTTTATTTAGTTGTTTAGTTGAGTTAGTTTCAGTTAGAAAAAGAGATTCTAGAAGACATGTAGTTCTAATGGCCCAGTTTCACACTTCCAGCGTGAAGGCTGGCGATTTTATAGCTTTTAGTTTCATTCGTAGTCTAGCCAGTTGGCTAAGCCACTTTGCTGCATTTTGCCTCTCACCACTAAGAGTGAACAATTTCACATGCAAAAAAAGGACGAACAAACAAATTGGACTTTGTTGTTTCGTTGTTAACAATAATATTGATATTGAAATTTATTTTCCGTGTAAAAGGGTGGGAAGTCTGTCTAAGTCATTAATAATCTTTATTTTTATATTTCTGAAGTCTGCAGTGGCCAGAACATGATTATCAAAGAACTTAAGTCAACATGATGGATATTCACCATCATGTCTTGCAAATAACAATTACCGTATCGCTATAAAGGACCTCAGTACTAGATAAAAAGCGCCGAATATACAAGTATTTATTTTGAGTTTCCCAGCAGGGAATATGGACAACATAAAGTAAAATAGCTTTTTCCATAAAATAAAAATGACGTTTAAAGTTATACAGATAGCACAACAAGCGAGAGTAGGTTAACAAAAAATAAAAATTCCATTTACCTTTACAGAGGGTCTCCTGTGGGGTTCTTCAATCCCGTAATCCCGACCCGAAATTTCGTGCAATCCCGTAATCCCGATGGTTGTTTTTGGCGTCCCACCTCTCCTGCAAACTTCCAATCCCGAATCTCGCCCCGATTTTGCTTTAAAATCCCGAGCCCGAAAAAAGGGAAATCCCGAATGCCGAAAAACCTATTGACTACCCTTTGCAATTACTAGCCTCTTCTGTTCTGTCGGTCTGTTTTTTTGTTACTAAACATCGATATACAGAACTAAACATCGGAGTTGTTCCAGATTCCCCTGTGTAAAATATTAAGGCTCAAAATAAAATCTGTTAGCATCATGATCTTTTCTGGCTTCAAAATACATGATGTATGCTGTCAATAGTACAATTGATGACGATTTCACATGACCTTTGTCAAAACTCTAATACAACAAAACGACGAGTGAGAATCACCACTTTATTACTTATTATTAAATATCCTGGGTGACAAATTACGCTCCCAATCATGAGATTAGACTTGTTTATTATATTGAGAACTCCACAAATTTAAACTATATTTTAAAATTCACAATCGATTTTCTGAATTTTTCGACAGAATACTCGTGAGAATCTTTCTTGCTGTGACAAATTTTCCTTTTTCGTGTGTTTACGTTGTCTACAACGTCGTTTATTGCCCTGACATTTTCATTCGCAACGTAACCTTGAGGCCATGATGTCAATTAAATGATACGGAACGTTGCCATGGAAATTTTCTAATTTCACATCATTGTAAAATTATGCATTGTGAACTCGCGCCAAAAACAACGATTAATTTATCACCCCTAATATTAAAAACATAACATCCGATTTTAGTGGCACATATCTCACAGTCTTTAGTTTGATAAACCTTAAGAATAGAGCGATGCGGTATTCTTTCCAAATCCCACGTGTTATGATCCTTCACACAACTCATTCTTTCATGAAAGCGAAACCAACAATTAGAGGTATTAAGAGCGATGCAACGGCCAGTGTTTGTAGTTTGCTTCCAGTCCCCTTCGGTGAAGCAAGGGTCCACTCGAATCTGTGTGCTTCGTTAATACTCAGCGAGAGGTCTGTAATTTTTAAAACCTGTCGATGAGGGAGAACTAAATCAAACCACTTTACTCGTTGATCTAAGATCTACTCTATTCAAGCATTGCACGTCCAAGGCTGTGGCGCATCCAGGAAGAGGGGTGGCCACGACCCCTGTAATATATTCGTAAGACCAGAGAATCTTTGAAGCTCTTAACTAATAGCCATGGAACTGAACCCCGAAAAGTCGCAAACAACTTCTTGTAGCTTAAAAATATAACTTGCGTTGCACCTGGACATTGCCTTGCAACCATGGGACTTGATCAATTTGATGAAACGTGGACAAAGTTATTTAAGCACTAAAGATAAGAGAAGGCAATCTCAAAGCTGGGTCCTTCCTGAATAGAATATCACTGATGTGCAGCATGTATCAAGGCCGCGGCGTGGGTCTTAACATGGGTCTAATTTATAACCGCATAGAAGGATGGAAAATAATGTTTCTACAGTGTGCCCCTCTCCCCACCCCTTAACAAAAATCACTGAATCGTCCCCCTGTAAAAAAAAAGAACACCAAGATGGAAAACTTAAAAAATCGCTGCTAACGACATCAATTGAACATTTAAAAATGGTTTGTTCTTGTAAAATTAGTTTGCAGCATAATTCAGCACTTCTTTTTTCGCGACGGATCTCTGGTTTGCAATGCATTCTGGGCGTGATTAAACGTGTTCCAATGAATGCGTTTTGATAAAGTTAACCCTTAAAGACCCAATATCCATATAAAAATTCCAGACTGATCTTGGAGAAATAAGTTGGGAGAACTGGATAAAAGATCAACGCATTTTGCCCTCTGTGATCAGTTTATTAATTCTCCTTATCTTTTTTCTTGATGACGTTTTGATATTGTTAAGAGAAAGTTAATGTTGGCCACTCTTGGGACTAAAAGGGTTTAAAAAAGAGACGAATATCACTTACCTTGTTGTCTTTATCGAAGCTTGATTTTGTTTTCATATCTTTGCCATCGATATTCAGCGACTCGATTCCTTCAGTATCAAGTCCATACACTGATACAAAGCCAAAGTTGGGAAGATTTGAGTCTGTGTATCCCTTCTTCACAACAGAGAACTTTAGTCCAGACTAAAACGAAAACAATCGAACTAAGTAGGTAAAATACAATTAGCTCTGAAACCTAGAAGAGCCGAAATATTGTGCTTTATCGGCTCCTGGTTTTATCAAGAGAAAATAATTAATTGGAGAGAGAGGGAAACGCTTAGTCTAGCTCTTAGGATATGTGAATTTCAGCAAAGTTATTTTTGGAAAAATTAAACGCTTGAATTAATCGGAAGTTGGTTAATAGGAAGTTGGTTTTGGCAAAAGACCCCAAACTTTTATTCAGTGATCTCAAGAGAGAATTCAACAGTCGCCATTACAATATTCTGCGCTGTTTTCTTTGAGGCAGTCGCGCGTGCACTTGATGACATTTCAAACAATCGATCAAACACTGCGAACGTCCGAGGAATTAGACTTCCGTTTAAGTACAAGTCTAAAAATAACTTAAGTCAAATTCACATAACCAGGCCAATGCCCTAAGATTTCCTCTGTCTCAATTTTCTCTCTGAGCTTAATTTTATCGTAGATAACAGAAAAAAGGAATCATTTTTCAGCGCAATAGTAACCGACAGAAATGACATGGGGAATAAATAACATGCGTTTGGACATAAATTGTCGACAGAAGTCGTGGCAAGTAATTGAATCCGTCCTCACCTCATCACTGGAAAACTGGACGAGCAGATATTTCTCATTTTCCACGGTGTCTAAGGAAAGAAAAAGTAATTAATAAAGATGGCTAAATGGCAGCACCCATTTGTCTGACTTTAGCAGGGGGGGCGAATACTTTGAACATTAGACCACGGGTCGATATGAGAGAAAAAAACGTTTGACTTCTCTTGGTATAATCCCACATACACACGTCCTGTTTGGTTACTTAACAGGGCGGGATCAAGAGATCGCAAGCGACACGGAACACTGATACGCTGCTCTTTACCAATAACCAAATGCAAGAGCCATAATTATGGCTCTTGCCAACTGATAATAGTTTGTTATGCCCCCTTATTAACATATAGAGATCTGCTTGAAAAAAAAGGGGGGGTATCAGCTCACCAATGGACTCTCCATCATCCCAGAAGAGTTTTCCCTCAGCTTTTTTATTATCTCCAAGAGCAACAATCAGACCCATCGGTTTCTTACGGCTGCAACAAAAATGAAAGTCAGTTTTTAATTCGACACACCCCTTTACAGCCTACTTTGGAATTAAAAAAGCTTCTTAACTATTAGGTCTGCAGAATTCTTTTCTCACCTCAGTGTATTTACGTCAAGTGTTACTTGTGTCGCTTCAACTCTTTTATGAGTTTGTTTCAGTGCTCATGGCTTTAAAATTTACCTGAATACAGTGTTATTGGCGGGTTCCTGAATGGGAAGAATGTAACCACCGCGTATATGAAGAGGTATGTGATCAAGAGGAGCGTCCACTGACACATATTCTTTACGTCTGCTCACCTCTTTACCCTGTGGAAACACTGCCGTTAGGAATGTAGAGGTCTTTCGTTGGAAATGGATACTAATTTATGGGATAAGCCAACGCAGTCATTCCTCCTCCCACTCCCTGCAGTCTTAAGTCGTCAAACAGTTCCCCTGACTTGAACAGAATAGACCATTTTACAACTATGTGCATAGTACCCTAGCCTGTGAGTGAAAGTGAGGCTAAGGTTGATCTTGTTTTGATACAAACCTCCTTCCTTTTCTTAAGAAAATCATTCTTTAAAAAAAAAAAACTAGTCAGCATAATAGCAACATCATTTACATGATAACGCCGTAGAAACTCGTCAGCGCCCGGCTTAATCTCCTCAGTATGGTCTTCTCATTGTGAAAAGGGAGCCACAAGACCACAACATCACGCCAACGACTAGTATTTCAGTATAACTTAAAAGAGATAATTAACAAAAAAGAGGAATACTAAAACAGGATGCGTTTATATTGTCTAATGTTTTTTTACTTTTCGGCTTTTCTGCAAGTACTTACTGTGTAATAATCGTACCAACGAGCTTCTGGAAAATATACCTCCACGCTGGTTTTGCCCTAAACAAAAAGAGGGTGGCAAATTATCACCTACATTTCAATAAAAAAGAGAAACTCGGATGCAAGTAAAGAAAATAAAATAAGACATAAATTAGACACCTTTAGATTCGAGGACGAGATTTAACAGTTTTATCGCGCATCTGATAAAATATACACCGACTTAAACCTTTATTGTGCTTTTTCCCAAAAAAATTAGCACCGTTGTTTTTAATGACAGATGTTTTAAAAGCCTTCTTCCACTACGACATACTCTCATATAGCAGAGGGGACTTTCGCTGTAGCGAAGTAGAATGACGAGGGCTACCCCAGATTTCCCGCCAAAATGACGGCTGGTTCACGCGCTTATACTACTTCGTATTCAGAAAATCTCGTCGTCGGAAACCTAGCCTCTCCGTCTTTCAAATAAAATTTGCAGGGATTACTATTAACTTAAGCTGAATTACAACTATGAACTATACCTCATCCAAAACAGGTGAAATAAGCAAAATTGATCCCCAGAGGAACTGTCGGTCGATGTCCCACGTAGTTTTATCATCTGGGAATCTGACGAACGATAGATATATTTCATTAAATCATAAAACTCTCAGTTCTCTTCTAACAGTCACCTTTATAAGCCGGGCACCTCCGTACAACAGACGCTTAGGATTGGTTTCCGCTGTCCATGCCGTCATTTGTGGACAAAACAAAAATCCTGGTGACCATTCAAATGAAACCTCTTTGCAGGCATATTTTCACATCGTAATGTTTTTTTGGTATTTTACAAAATGACATCTTTTTTGGTTAATTAGAGGAAATATAACGGCAGTAAGACCACTTACTCATGCATCAGAGATCTTACTACTGTGGATCCATACACCTTTGCTTCGTAGAACAGCGTGTACAGAAAAGGTATTAGCCAATAGCGTGTAAGCAGCACCTTGCGGGCCTTGCTCACAAATTCATCCCCAAATGCCGTTGGATCTTGTGCCTAGAAAGGATTGTTTCCACGTCTTTAGTTTTTCGATAAGGCAAGCGATTAAAAGCTGCAAATTATATAACAAATTACAAGGAGTTGATCTAGTCTAAGAAAACAGCCAACATTAATTTCGTGCCGCTACCACTGGTTTCCCCGCGAAAAATTCGCAGAAATTCTATACAGCTGATGACGTACCATTACCCAGATCTGGGCAGTGCTTCTGATTGGTTGAAAATTTGCTTCATCCAATTAATGGCACTACCCAGATCTTGGTGGTGACTAGTGTCGAGCGTCGAAACTCAGACGAGAGGGTCGTTTCTCAGACGTCATTTCGTGGAAACCAGTGGTAGCGGGGCGAAATTTTGGCTGTTTTCTCGGGCTAAGAGTGAATCTTGCCTTACCTTATATCCAAATCCATTGTGGTTTCTGAAGAAAGGATAAAATGCCCCAAGCTGAGTCCATCGAAGGCACATTTCACTGGTAGGATGGCTAAAGTATCCACAGACGTCTGCTCCAACCTATTAAGGACGAGAATACTGAATACCGTATTTACTCCAATAACGTGACCGCGTTTTTAGTTCTTTATGACGCAAATGCGGCGCTTATTTGAGGGCGGGTTTTATTTGAAAGTTGGACGTGACAAAGAATTTTTTCTCACCGGTATTATCATTTTCAGTCTGTAACAGAAAGATCTTTTGATTTTGATTGCATCGGGACCCCTTTTTTTGGTCCCAATTGCGACGCTTTTTAGAGGGCGGTGCTTATTCGAGTAAATACGGTATATGAAGTGAGGGTTTAAAGTTTAAACCAATCGGGCGCGTTAACAAGGATCATCGTTTGTCTCACAATATAGTCATTTGAGGTGTAAGTCGCCACTATTCGAGTGGTTACTGTTAGTCTTCTTGAGGCTATGTCTGATTTCCCCGAAAATCCAAGGTCTGCCTGAGATATTTAACATGAAAGGGTGGCATAGGTGTAACTCAGAAAGAGGGAAGAGAAATTAAACATCGGACCCATGTATGAAGACTTTGTTTAAAATTGATTGAGAAGACGTTCGCATGAAAGAAAACTCAACGCAGCTCTGTCTCACAAAGGAAGTTCTGAGTCTTGTTAGACCTCTCGTTAACCTTACAAATAACAAAACACAAAGCGCTGAGGTAGGTAAAGTTTAAATGCAGTAGAACCATTGATTTATGGTGATTGCCTCATAGCCAATGAAGCACGATCGAATGTTTCCTTTTAACATGCAATCATAGATTAGAGTCAGCAGGCTCCCTTGTGCTCGCGGCTATCATCAATAAAAACAGGTGCAGAAAAGGGCTTTCAAGTGTCTTACTTACGTAGGGAATTCCAAAGAGATTGAATTCAAGCATCCCTACAAAATGGAAAAAATGGTTGAATTAGAACCAGAGGCAAGAGTCAGGCAAGTTTAGAAAGTAAAACTTTGCAGCACTACATACATGACACTATGTCACTCACCGATGATTGACGCATATAGCTGATCCCATGAGGCATTGTTATCTCCGAGCCAGTGCCCTGCATATTTTCCACTGCTGGGAAAAGTTGACCTTGAAATCACAAGACTGCGTTTTCTGGTACTTTTCCTGGCCGCTCTAAAACAACAGTGTTGGCACTCAATTAGTTGCCAGAAAATTGGATGGTAAAAAAATCCTTCATCACTGTTTCCTCGCTTTCTAACCCCAACTGGGTCCTTTTTGTCACATATTTCAGGCCTGGTTACTAGGTATGCTTAAAAAGGGCAACACTCCAGTATATCCTCCGCTAACTATACATTCTAAAGTAAGAGTGCCTTGAAAAACATTTAATTGAGGAAATATTTCAGATACAGAGGGTCCAGCTCTTTGCTGTATGGTCAATATGGTCAAATATACTAAAACACAGTAAAAAACTTTTTGTTCAACTTGTAACATGAAAGATAAAGCCTAATACAATCTGTAGTAGGTCTGCTTATCACCGACAGCGAAACTATCCTAACAATACATCGACTCATAGAACAAGTTACACGTAAAATAAAATCGACCACAGAACATCAAGCTACACTAGAAACTTACTCAAGTGTAACTCGTGACTGACTCCAGCCATACAGGCTGTGCACATTATAATGTAAATTATCTGTCTGCAGCGCGTTCATACAAACAGTCTTCTCCGCCATGATGTTTCCAATGATTCCTGAATAGATGCAAAAAAGAGAGATGTGTTACCCATCTGAGTAAAACGCGGGCAAACGTTGACCTTTACTGTCTAACGTGAAGAAGAACACATGATGTATGATGTTAATTTTGGCACGCTCTGTTATGGTAACACCTGCGCCCTTCCAGACAAACTGCAAAAGAAACTCCCGGCCTTTTTGACACAATATTCTTCTCGTGTTCGTCTTTATGCTATAGACGGGCTTCGAGGATGACAACTAGATGCCCATGCATTTGGCGAAGTTACATGTAAACGGTCTAAGCAAGTAAGGTAGAATAAGGTGGGTGGGTGAGTAGGTACTAGATAGGTAGGAAGGTGGGTAGGTTAGGTAGGTAGATAGGGTAGTTAGGTAAGTAGGGGCGCACTGAAGCAAGATAAGGCTCAAAAAAAGCTTTCTAAGTTTTAGCTCTAGTTGTTGATTTTACCTAAGTGTTCGATTACGCGCATGAAAGCATCAATACTCACTTGGTTTATAAGGAGGATAGTCCCACTTGTTTTTACTACAGCCGTTTACTTTTCCCTTCACAAAGTTGGCTGGCTCGTTCATGTCCTTCGAAAAAGGAGCTTAGTTTAGTGTTTTAGGGCAACTAATCCGTGAGGCCATTTAGCAATAGATAAAATTGCCATGATTCTAAACGCAAATAGAAGCAGGTTGAAAAGGCTCAGTTGTTGGAAGGCCGATTAGCGCTAAAAATATAACCCGGTGTTAAAAAGGAATTTATATCCCGATTTCTTTTTTGCTTTATTCAAAAGCATTTTCTCGGCTAATTTTCGCTGTCTTTTTTCCCTTGAGTACCCTCTTATAGTGGAACTTTCCTCTTAAGCTCTCATATCTGAATTCAAATTTCGCAGTAGCCCTGGGTTATCTTTCGCCAGCTTTTTGAACAATTCGGCCCAGGTTTCGTAAGATCGACCAGGAGACCAAAAAACAATTAAGCGTTGCACTTACAATCCACAGGCCATCAAACTCGATTGTTTTGTAGAAGTCTTGAATAAGATCACCCCAATAGGTGCTGATGTTTGGGTGGAAAAAGTCTAGAAATGTAGCATACTGACGATATAGCTAGAAAAAGAAATAAAAAATATAAAAAATGGGTGAAATATGTTACTTTATCGAGTTACTCCACGTCACACGACAAAAGCTGACCATGACAAAGCAAGGCAGACAATTCACATGTTGTACAGGATGTCAAAGGAACTTATGTTAGATGGGGCCGGAAAACTCTTCCAAGTGATTATTACACTGATACGACTATACTAGTGATAACAATTATTTAATGGGCTTTGGGTTCACTCAGGGCGGGTGTTCTTGACTAATGTTACCAGGGCGTGTTACAACATTTTGGACTTCAATTGCAGTGATGACCATCCTGAGCTCAGCAGTGCTGAGTTCCATAGTAAATAACTGCCTACAGACTAAACGCCTAAAATAAGAAGAGGCGAGAAATAAAGTGAGTGTATTTCATAAGAACTTAAACGTATTCATTTTAACTTGATGAATTCCAGTGTTTGTTGTTCGTTTTCTCCTTTTGTCCCGGGATGTTTTTCTCCGTGTACTCCGGTTTTCCTCTCTTCTCAAAAACCAACATTTCATTCCAGTTTGACCAGGAATCAGAAGGACGAAGGAACATTGATGTGTTATCTTTAAATAGTTATTAATTTACTAATAATCACTAACCCTTGTTTTTTCGTCCCATGGCAAACTTTCGTTGATTTTAACATTTTCATATGTTGGCCACACCTAAAACAGATCACAATACACTATAAACGATCTTAATTAAACCTAACCCAATACTAGCGTAAGTTACGTGTAATTGAAACGGATGATCTATTTAGTTTTGTTAGAATGAGAGGAAAACAATTATTGAGCTCGGTTGGATTATTCTCAGAAGTCAGTACAAGAACTGTGACCGCACGTGAATAATGAATAGCTTTCCAACAAAGTAAAATCCAAACTAAGTAAGAAGAAGCTGATCATTTTGTGACGGACATCAATACATTAAAATGTATTTATATATATTTATAACGCTATTTCTGCTACTTTGTCCAATTCATACCCAAAGAAATTTTAAGATAACCGGTGTGATATTACCTTTCCAAAAAGGTTGCCTCCCGTGTCGCCATCCTTAATAAACACATTTAACTCATTTCCCCAGTCATATGGGCGATAGCCAGTATCATTTGCTCCAATAGCGGGATCCTTGGTGAAAAAGAAAGATAATGGTAAAATGGCAGTAGTATGGTCTTTCTAGTGTACTAAACAGAGAGAATTCTTTTTTTTACCTGGCTAAAACGCTTATTGCATTACACTTACATACATTTTAGGTCATATCCCAAAACCACAGTCGACAGATACGACGCTAGCCTATCCTCGTCAGTTGTTTTCCTTTTTATGCTTTTCTCAGTATAACAGCTTGCTTTTAATCATTATTTCGCCTTTATCCCGAAGTTTTTATGATAGCTGCCCCGTGAATACAAAAAGATACATATATAACGTTATTGCAGCACACAAAGGATGTCCGTTTGCTTATCATGGAACAGTTTAGATGACGTTGCGAAACTTTTGAGTTTGTTTCGTTCTGGGCTTCAGAAAATAAAACGAGAAAGCAAAAAGATGAAGTAAATTTCTTGTACATTATTCTCAATGGAAAGAGAAAATATTATACTAACCAGGATTATTATGTAACGTAAGCCATCCTTCCTTATTGAGCGAACAAAGTCAGGTAGTCCTTTGAAGTTAACAGGATCATAAGTGAAGTCTTTCATTCTAATCATATAGTCAATGTCACCAAACTGCACATCCTGAAAATGGCAGAAAAAAAAATTATCAGATTGAGGGAGAATCACCATAAATATATATTTAGGAGTTTGTGAGAGCATTTGGTTTTCAACATCCCAAAATCGAAACAAAAGGTAATTACAGGTTTTTTAAATTACCGTATTGACAAATCACTAAACCGGAAGTGATGTTGTCCTTTTCACGGGCATAAATTTTAGGTCCTTTTACAGACCGAATTGATAGATTTCCCTATCTTTTCATATACTTCAACTACTAAAATCTCTACCCTTTCATAAACCTGAAGCCTGAAAAAAATACGCCTCTCGTTTCAGGCGGAGCATCCGCGTCTAGAGAGTACCCTTCCGGCAGGACGCATTCACAGGAAGAGCTAGAGTGGTACAAGGTGCAATTAATAGAAACTCTGTGGTGGAAAGGAAAAGAAAACGTTGGCTTCATACCTGTGGTAAGTTGTGTTTGCTCATGTTCGCTACTAGCCCCTTCACGGTCTCAATGTTGTTATAGCCCCAGCGGGACAACTGGAATCCGAGAGACCAATATGGTGGCAAAAACGTGCGGCCTATAGCCTGAAAAAAATGTGGAGTGAAAGTAACATGTCGTCGATTTTTTGTGGTTTGAAACTATCCTGACTCTTGCAACAACGATTATACCAATACAGTAGAAATAATAGGAGTGTGAAACGTTGTTATTACATTCCATCATAGCATCAAAACTCCAAGAAGAAACTATAAATCTCATGTACAGTGATGTGGTGTTCTGTCCGGAAAAGGCTACTTGATAAGGTTAGACGCAAGAAACCTTCACCTGAATGATTGTTGTAAGAGAAGAAGGAAAAAAGGAGAAACCTAGGAGAAACTACGAAGTGACAGACCGAATTCTATACTCAATAAAACTTGCAAACTACATCACTGATTTACAGCGAAATGATGGTTTTGAGAATTGGTTTTACTTAGCAGAATGTTCGTAGACATCAGTTAACCGTCAACATTGACAACGCCAATAAGCAACAAAGAATTGAAGCAAAAAACTATTTTTGAACTGTCCAAGCGCTCTGATGACAACGATTAAGTTACTGAAATATTTTTATACCTCTGTATACTGTTTCACGACATCTTCAGGGTTAGGTCCAAGGAAAACGTAAAAATCAAGAATCCCGCCAATTGTACGGTATGTTATGGCTGGCTTAGGTTGCAAGGCAACATCTACAAGGAGTAAAACAAGACAGCCAACTTGTTTAACATGACGACTAGAGTCAATCCTTCTTGTTATATAACTGGAGTTATATTTTCCCCAGCAGCGCGCTCTTGTAGTCATTTGACATATGTAAAACTGTTTCCCGCCAAACGTCGCCTAGCGAATCTGAGCGGCGGGCAATTACGTCAGAGCCGAGGTAACAGTGCACTGTTACCCACTGACATTTTTTCAGGGGCATCTATAATTTCCCATTTTTAACGGATTTTTACTTTAAAAAGGTCACCTGGAATTTTCGGGAGCCTTTTTCTGGCTGAGTTTTCGAAAAGGTAAGTTTTGATGCCATAATTTTCGGATCACTAGACTTTCAGCTAGGAAATGCGAACAGATGAAAAATTTTTAGGGGATAAAAATATGACTATATCTACCGTTTAAATACTAAAATACGTTCAACAATGCTATGTTTAATTATAAGTGGTTTTGAACTATATCCTCGTTGAGTGCCCCTGATTTTTTGTTATTCGAAATTATGTCATTGACATATCGAACATCACAATTTTCGTGGCGCCTTCATTTTATTTACTGGGGAAGCTTTGTTGTTGCACTTACCCATAGCGTTACTGTTCAAAAGTAGAACTCCATGCGCTTTTCCGTCATTCTCCATACATGTATAAAAAGGATGATGTCCGTACAAGTTCCCTCCAGCCTGTAGAGGTAAGATAAATTTTATATAGTAATCTAGAAAGGAACACCTACAATGTATATTTCAGTAATTTTGTGTTTTTGGTTTTTTGTCACTTTCTTATAGCCCCAAGAGCGACGGATCCGTGGTTGGCGCCGAGTAGGAAAAAGAGAGAGAAACAGAATGAAAATTAGGCTATTTTAACAAATTGTCTGGATGAAACAGTTACACTGGCTGAAGACAGATTGCAAGATGGAGAAATAGAGACACAAACTTAAACTGAAAAATAGATTTTAAAATACACTGGAACCTGTATGAAGGGGTAGCCAATAGCGGACCATCCGTGGTGCCCGCTTAATACAGGTTCGTGGTAATTAAATATAGAGCTTGCTCTGGCTGGTTTCCAACTAATAAAGGGTTAATAGAGGTTTCATCCTGTAATTAATAAATTAATTCAAGTACTAAAATTAATTCAATTAATGTAAGGGAAAAATATGGAGCGAACCTCTTGACGAGAAGTTGCTTTTAGTTACAAGCAATTTTACTGCACTTACAAATGGAAACTGGTCTCTGGTGAAAATAGGAAGTACTTCCCAAGCTGAGAGGTTGCGCTTAAATGACTCGTGCTCCTGTTCACCAAACCCGTACACATATGATGAGGGAGGCTGGGTCGAGATTTGGATGAACTGATCTTCGAATATCAACACGCCAACAGAGGAGTCCCATCTATAGATGAAGTAATATAATTAAGAGGAGTTTTGGTTTATGGTTGGCTGGACTATCTCGCGCCATTTTCTCACCTATGCAGTCACAAGAAAAACCAACTGAAGATGACTCCGGCACATTTCCCGTGCGCTTAACGTCTTGAATTGAGATCTGATTGGTTACTGAATAATCTGCGCCTTCTGCTTCAGAATAAGTCCATTTTCCCGTGGAAAAACAAAAAACGCAGTGCGCCATGGAAAGAAAGGGAACAGCGCCTTTTTCCTAGAATGCAGAACGGGCGCTCTATGAGCAAAGCGAGGCATTTCGCGCGTAATGCCGCGTTCGCCTGGCTTGGCTCATAGAGCGTCTGTTATGCAGACTACCTCCTTCCTTGCCTAGTCCCTGTACGGCGTTTTACCAGGCCTTCTCGTTCAACGCATTTCGGTGACGTAGCCTAGACAAACGAACAAGAGAAAAAAACTCGTTCGGACCAAGTGAACCGAAACGCATAGGCCGCGCGGAATAATGAGGCCTAGGGACTAGCTAACATCCTTTCCAAGACACTTTGCGCCCCGGCGTCGCTCCGGCGAGCAAAGGAGCAAGGAGGACGAGGATAAGGAACGAAACAATTGGCCAGAACACTTGCTTCCGGATAGCATTTTGGTTACACAACTGTCGAATGAAATAACTCACTTCATCTTATTATCCAGGGAAAGGCGATTGCTCTAGAAACGAAATGAAAGCCCGACAAAATTTCTTGTTTCTCTTATGGATATTATCTGATAAAAGAAAGTACTGATTCTGCCTGAAATAAACGCTAGCAGACAGGCAATGTCTAAAACACCTGGGGGTGGTGGAGGGGAGGGGGTTCGGATAGAAACTAAGGAAGTTGTACGCAATGCCAGCAATTAAAGTAATACAACTGAAAAAAAGAGCTGATCAGGCCAATCCTTCATTAGTGGACAAACGTGGCTTACTTACAATATAGCACCGTTTTCTTTCCGCACTATTTTCAGGGAGAAGGGATCAGGCTTGAACTCAACTTTGTACTTTGGGTTCGAAGCTTTCGATGTCGCAGATGGCATCGGAACTGGTACTTCATACCTCTTCTCTCTTGAGTCATAAAGCTAAAACAAAACATTTCATATAACATTATCTTTTCACCGGAGCTTGTTGTTTGTAGGGGTTTCTAAATACAGGACTTTCATTAAAAGAAAACCTTTAATTATGTTCAATGAACAGATCGATGTGTTCACTACTCGGAAAATAGAATTTGCTGGAAGTTTAAACAGAGTATATAATTTAAGTATGAAGAGTTTGAGCTGAGAAACATGGAGGCAGTTACATTGATAGGGTATATCAGAGGACGCTATACGCGTAGCAAATAACGATGTAGGCTAGGTAATAAATTCGCCAGGGGACGATAAAGCAGCAGTAAGATGGCAAATAACAAAATGTGCAAAGTAGCGAAGGCCGCGCCTAGTTTTCCAGCCACTTGAAGGATAATAACATCAACACCATTAAAGGCAGTGGATTTTAATAAAGTTCTACGGCTACCTTAAATCTCACTCGATCGTTTGTTTGAAACTCAACGTCAAGAATGACGTCATTGATGTCCTGCCCATATATGGTTGTAACAGCTGAGCGGCGTTTGAGGGCAGCTTGGTAACCTAGGTTTGTGTTTATCACTTCTCCTTCAATTTTGTAGCCACCACTGTAAGATTCCGGAAAGAAGCATGAAGGAACGCCCTGCAGATAAAGTCATCACAACATTCATTATCCCACTTCACTGGAAAATGCTTTTGCCCCCAGGATCACGCATAGGACTTTGTCGCTCTTAATAAACTCGCATTTTCAATCCGACAATATCCGAGAGGGGAATGAGGGAAAATATCAGCACTCAACCTGCTTATTCAAGTAACGTGCTTTCCGTGAGGTCCTTCCCTTCTCTATCAACCATACATTTCTATAAAATATTCTCCTCTGGAGATAAGACCGCATTTTTTTCGGAGTTAGAACCCTCTAGAAGGCATGACAATAAATGCAGGTTGCAAGTACCCGCTAATCTTTCAGGCAGAGAAAAAATAAAGTTACCCTCTCTGAAGAACCAGCCCTGTAACTAAGAAAATTATTCGGTTATTGACACTGTGTGGAGGGATGTTCTTTCTTGTCACCAATGGATTTTTCTCTAGTTTGAGTGGCTCAACCTTGAGTATGCCTGTAAGCCGCACAGCATAGGTTGCTTTGTTTTCGTGTGACTAACCCTTTGCAGGTGCTTTGCTCAAGAAGGATTCGTTTTCCTGTTCGGAATTACAGTCAAGTCTCTAGTAAGCGAAACCCAAAGGCCAAAAGCTGGTGTTGGCAAACCAGAGACGGAGCACATATACCGGTCTACCGGAAACAGGACAGACAGTTAGGTTAATATTCTAAGAAAATCGGTGTGCACCATTTTTGAGTCATAACACGAGACATGTTGATAAAAAAATTCCCCCTCGTATACAAATCAGATGTTGTAATGTTGTTATCAGACTCGTCCTTCATTATTTATCAAGGCTTGTGCGACTTCGCTTTATCCATTTTGCAACAAAAGGAGATAAGGAGATTATTCTATTTGTCACGTAATTGGTTACGGATGCTTTAAAAAACAATGTTGGATTATTTTTTTCAAAAAGAGTGGGCGTAGTAGCTTACGAGAGGTTAAGATACAGTGCGTTGATTGGGAACATTAACTTTAGTATTTTGGAAAGGTACGACACAGGATAGCACTGTCTCAAATTTTGTGTAATAAATGTCCTACTATCTGTATACAGTAAAATGTCCTCCAACAAAGCGATCGTTTACATTGACTTGTCGTAAGTAAAATCCAGGAGCTGTCTTTTATATATTTGTCAAGTAATGAGGGTGGGCTTCTGTAGTTTGTTTGATTCGGTCTTGACGAGTTTTCATCACGGTAGAAGCAAGCAATACGAACTTTTAAAGAAAGAATTTCCACATTCTCTAAGCTAGGTATCAGCCCGGGGGGTGGGTACTTCCTATGATGGCCTATACGGCAAGGCTCCGGCCGAAATGGGCATCTTTTTCAGGCCTCAGGTGTATAAAAAGGTAGGGAAATCTGTGATTTGGGTTGTGAAAGGGCCCAAAAGGGCTAACAGATGGATTTTATGGCTTTATAAAGTGGAGAAAACGTTCTGTTTTCATGATTGATTCCTATTTAAAAGACAGTGCATATACAGCAGTTAAAAGGGATGCAAAGTTCTAAACAAGGTATGTGAAAGGGGTACCATTTTTCAATAGAAGCCGGTATACGAAAGGGGTACCTTGTTCGTGAAAAATAGTATATAAAAGGGTAAGGGGTTGGACCTCGGGGAGAACCCTCCCCTATTAACATTTTGTTGAGTACCCCCCGGAGGTTTCAGGAGTAATTTTCTTGCGTGCGGTGATAGAGTTCGGAGGAGATGCTTCGGGGTCGGACCGAAACACGACTAATTATTATTAATTGACTCACTAAATTACGAACCAAGTCAACGTTTTGCTGGATGAACGAAAATAACAGTAATTTTCTCTTGCAAATGAATTGTCGGGATGGGAAAAATTAACAATTCATTCGAAATTCATCACCTCAGCGTCTGAGTTTTCCCACGTGCATCCGCGAGACTCGCAAACAGTCTGGTTTCCTTTTTCAGGGTAGCAGTCTATCTTGTCCTTATCAGCAACATGCTTGCTGATGGTAAGGCGCATCAGAGACAGCACAACAGGGATGAAGAATACTCGCTTGATAAAAGACGCCATGATGGCACTTGAAACTGGGCACGATCGATCTGTAGACATGCAAATAATTGGATGACCCCCTGTGACCCACCAATTACCGAGGGGGAAGCGATCTTCAAACGTAGACAGTATTTCCCGGGAGACGCACGGAAACAGAAACGCAGAAACGGCTCTGTTTTATTTATTTCCGTGACAAAATATTTTACAAGTGAGAAAGTATATACAACATGGAAACACAGTCTTCAACTTCATTTGCAGTCTATTCATACACTAAGTATATCTCAGTATAAAAAGGCTAGTCTTTGGTTGGGGAGGTACGAAGAGACGCGGAAAAGCCCGAAGAAGAAAGTAAGCGGTACGCTAGCTTGACCTGACTTTTGGTTTACAGGGCCTCTTTTTCGTCAGGATTCTAAAAATGCATTTTACTGTACGGCCTATGGCCGACGCAGTATCCTTTCCAAAATAACCAGAGGCTTTAACCCATAATATTCAGGCACGTTTTTTCTGATTTTAGTACATCAGAGGAGGTTTCGTAGGTTCCGCAAATTGGTTATGCCGTCCGGCGAACAAGAAATTGAATCCGAACTTTCAATGGCTTAGGAATCATACTCATTACTCGTTGAACTATGTTGTCACTAGTACAAAAAAGTTTCATGAAAGGCCATGCTTTCCCTGTACTGGAGAGCTACAAAGCAGTAGCTCTCCGGTGAGGACCCCCAAAATGTTTACTCAAAGAAATCACATCGCAAAAAGACAACTACATCAACGTTTGCAAAGTAATTTGTTTTTGTTTTATTTGTTAATTTTAAAATGTTTCAGTCAAGATAGATATTAATACCTTTTCCGATTTGATTTCCCCTTTCATGCGAACGTATTTATCAAAAATATAACCTTTACACTTCGCTAGCATCAAAATTAAATAAATTTTTGTTCACGGAACCACGTCATACAAATTGTACTGACTAGATCTAGAAAGAATAACCACAAAGATGAATAGCATTCTATCCATTGCGTGTGTTTTTCCTTTTTACAAATAGAAGCCCATCTATTTATACCAAAATTAACCTGATATAACGACGACGATAGATTTCGACTGAATTAATGTAATCCAGATGTCTTGTCGAGTCTTTCTCATCTCAGAGTCCGAAAGGTCTCTAATGTGTTGCACAAGGCCCCAATATATCGCACCCATGCTGTAACTAACACTGACATTCTCCCTGTTAGCTTCACACTTTCTTAATTTGGGCTTCTACTGTAAACTTGTATAAACTATTTAAATTAAATAGAAATTCTCTGCTTTTGTTTTACATTTCTAATGATTAAATGAGCAATTCTTCATACAAGGAAAAATATATCAAAAATATTGCACTTATTCATAATTTTGTACAACTCTAACATAAACTGTTCAATGGGCTTTTTTTTAAGTCACTATGTACAAAGACTGCTGAACTGTACAAGTCAATGTTCCTTAAATAACATCATTAACGTCTTGCAATAATTTTCCGCATATTTACAGTTACTCAACAAAAGAACTAAAAAACCAAGTGTTAGAAGTGAAAAAATACAACTATCAGGAGACAAATGTTTAGCGTTAGGAACTTAAGGTACCACGACGGCGACGGGGCTAAAGTGTCACTTAAAAAGTCTTTTAGAAATTCAAAATGATTGTTCCAACTTGCTTAGTTTGACAGAGGTGGGCGAGTTCTCTTCGATTTGAATGCTTAGAAAGAGAAAAAAAGACTTGTAGTCGTGTGTTCAGGTGCTGTATAAAACGTCACATCTTGACGTTTTACGTCATAGTCGTGCAACGAAGGCAAAGAAATGTACAACAAAGTGTGATGCACGTGCAGATATTTTGCTTTGGTTATTAATCCAATTGGTTTTTTGACGTTCCCGTTGACTTCGCCGTCGTGATATCCTACATCAAAAGCTTACAACGCTTTCTTAGTCTGTATATTAAACTTGACAACATCAAGAGAAACACACTTGCTGTGGATGGTTTGTTGTATCTAAAGCCATTAGCTAAGGATGGATTACGGCAGTATTATCTCCTACGAAGACAACTGGCTATCTATGAGAAGACATTCACTCATGTGCTACCTTCCACCACAGACGGGTGCTAAGAAGCAGATAATTTGAGGCTCGTCATGAATTACGACTACTCCCTTTCATACTCCGACCCTTAAATTGTACTTCAAATTAAATGGGAAAACTTCAATCTTAGGTTCACATAGAGTAGATTGAAGATGTTTAACTTATATGGCCCTTTGACTAAGAGCCACCTCTCCACAACGCCTACTCTTTTTTGGCGGACAGTCCATACATTTACTCTTGTTTAAACCTCTCTACAAGGGCCACTTTCCTCTGTCCCCAAATTGGCCGTTGAGGGGAGGTCCAACTGAATTAACAAACCCTAAAGCAGAAATATTCGTTGTCGTTAAATTATACCTTCTGATCATGGAGGTTTTGGTGGAGCGGGTTTTCTCCTTGGTGATCCATATCCTTTCTTCTTCTTGTTGAACCCAATCGGTACTTCCCACACCTTCCTTGGAATGTGTGTATAGTATGTGAATACGAACGCTCGAGTAACACCTTGTCCACAACGCGTATGCTTCAAGTTTTGCATCCTTTCTACGTTTTCCTCTCTTCGTTTCAGTAACAATGCCTTCCTACGCGCGGCCGCTTGAGCAGAGCGCATGCGCGCCAACGCCTCCAGTCTGCGCGCCATCTCAATTCTTTTTTGTTCCTCTTGGATTCGCCTTTGCTCCGCCTCCTCCCATTTACGCCATTCTTCGTCCATCCGTTGACGTTCCTCTTCCTCTCTCCTCCTCCTCTCTTCCTCTTCCTGTCGTAGTTTTGCTTCCTGCATCTCCGCAATTCTCCTCATCTGTTCACGATACTCTCGTTCTTCCTGTATTCTCCGTAACTCTTCTTCAGCCTCGCGGATCTTTTCTTCCTCCAGCCGTCGTTCTTCCTCCTCCTCTTGCAGCGCTCGGATTCGTTCTTCTTCACGCCGCTGCTCTTCCTCCAAACGTTCCAACTCTTCTTTCCTTCGCCTAGCCTCTTCAATTTCCGCCATTCTCTTCTCGCGATCCATTCGCTGCTGCTCAAGTTCTTTCTCTCGCTCTTTCAGCTCTTCATCTCGTTTCTTTTTCTCCTCGCGTTTCTTTTGTACCTCCAGTCTTCTTCTTTCAGCTTCAGCAGCTCTCCTGACCTCTCTTTCTTCGCGTGCCTTTTTCTTGGCTTCTCTCAGCTTCTCCAAAGCTTCTTCTTCCTGTTTTTTGGCTTCCTCTTCATCTGCCAGCCTTTTTAACTTTTCTTCTTCAATATTCTTTTGCTTCTCTTCTGCTTCTGCCTTGGCTCTCGCCGCCTCTTCTTCTCGCTCCTTCATCAGTCTCATCTCTTCTTCTTTTAATCTTTTCTCTTCTTCCCTTCTCTTTCGCTCCTCTTTACGCTGTTCCGCTCGCATCTTAGCCAGCTCTTTCTTGGATAATTTCTTTGGTTTAGAAGGTGCATGAGCATCTCTTTTCTCGGCAGGAACGTCCTGGGCCACTTGCGGAATTTCTAACGTTTGCACTGACTCTTGTCTTTTGACTTCTTTACTAACAACGGCAGTGTCACTGGGTTTAGTGGTGGCAGCAGAAGTGACGTCACCTTTGCTCTGCTCCTCAACAAATTGACGCAGCTCGTCGTCCATTCCTTCTAACATTTCCGGTGTGTTGAAAGCGTCAAAGTCAATGTTCTCTGGGTCTATGGTGATCTCGCTTTTGTTCTTTGCAGATTTCGACGATTTTCCAGATTTTTTCTTGGACTCGGGTTTCTGAAATCATTCAGAAAAACAAGCAGTTAACTTTGAAATTCCTTTCTTTCTTGTTTGACGCTCGCTATAGTTGATTTTACTGACGCTGTTTTTATATCCTGTAAAATTGATCTGTCTTATTGGCACAACAAATCTGCTAATCTTATCACTTTGGTCCAAACGGACTCAATGCTAATCAAACCAATTTCATCTTAGGTTCAGTTGTATATCATAGCTTTAAAAAGAAGTGTCACCGTGCGGTTATGGTGGCTAACCTAAAAGTGGCGAGCTTATGAGTATGTTAAACAGTAATCGAGCATTACGTAAAATATTTGTAGTCTACTTTAAGAATCACGAGAGGAGAAGAACCCTCTTCCAGAGGCATACCCGTATAAAGGATCCAGAAAAATGACTGAAGAGCCGGGAAGATTGGTGATCGCAGGGGCCTAAACCCCGGGGCAAATTTTACAGCAATTTTATAAGTGTAGCTGTTGTTTTCAGACTCTAAAGTATTGGCTATACATACTTGTAAATTAAACTTATAAAAGTTTTATTAAACTGACCCCCGGAGCGAGTAACTAACTCCCTTGAGCTCACGCAACGGAGTTTTAATTTTTATATCGCTTTTTTCCGCGAATTATGACGGTGAAAGAAGACTTAAAAATCAGTCAGCGATAAACCAAAATATAGTATCTCTTACGATTTGAAGACATTTGCTTATTAATATTTTTTGTCATATATCATATTACTGATGCGCACAAATACTAAGTTTTGTTTCCATTTTCCACGGAAAATGTCTTCAAATGATGCAAAAAATAAACCGATCTATGAAAACACCGTTCTATAAGCAAAGAATGAGAGTCGCACACTCCGCCTAAGAGCTCCTGGTTTTTTTAAGAGAGAGTTACTTACACATGCAACACTTTTTAAGACCAACCTTTTCTTTGGTTTTACTAGCAGTTTTCTTCTTAGCCACAAGTGCCGCAAGATCCGACAAATCATTTTTCTTGCTCTTATCAGAGTTCGTTGGACTAGTTCTAGTCACCAGTCCTTCTGAAAGAGACTCGCCCTCGTCACCCTCTTTACCAATCCCTTCCAACTCCAGCTTTCCCTGAGTAGGCGCATCCCGTTTTTGGAACAGACTGCTGACCATCTGACGGCGGGCCTCTCTTTCTTCATCCGTTGGTTCTTTGACTTCTCTAAGCTTGCCGTCTCTATTCACCAAGTTCAACCCAGTATAATTTGGCTTTTCTTCAACTTTCTTCTTGTTGGAAGGCAAATCTTTAGATTTTTCGTTTAAGCTTGATGCCACAGGCTTAGACTGTTTGTCTATTGTTGTTTTAGAAACTTCCGTTTTAGACTTGATTACTGGCTCTTTAGCTTCCATCTTTGGTACCATTGTCTCATCTGTTTTCACTGCATTTTCCTTTTCCTCGGTTCCAGCTTCCGAACAACGCCTACTCCGCGCAGATCTCTCACGAATTTGAGGCTCTTTTCCAGACTCCAGGTAATTTCGCACGGCCTGTCCGATACTCACTGGAACGTTTCTCTCTTCTTCCGTCACAGGTGACGAAGGACGTGACTTTTCGATGTCAATGGTTTCTTTGTAAGGCGAAGGAGGTCGACGATTGCCCAACTAAGGCATAATTGAGACAAAAATCTATTAGAATGAGCCACGCAGATGGCTAGAGGATGAACCTTGTATACGGAATCCAAATACAATAATTTGATAAAATAATGCATAAAAACTAAGGCGTCTTTTTTTTTTCAGATCCAAGCCCAAACAAACGCATGTATTACAAGCAAATACAGTAACATACAAATGTTCTGGTGATAGGGTATAACGTAGCCTGCGTGGCAGGCGCTCGAAAGGAAGTGGAAGGGAATTAGGGCGCGAGACCACGCGCGAGGGAGGAGGGAAGAGGGGAACTTTCTTTCCTTCTCCCTCGCGCGCCCACGCGCTCTCGCGCGGCCAAATCCCCTTTTAACGCCTGCCACGCCGGCTAGGTATAACGTGACTGTTTGAACCATACAATCTCTTCCAAAGATTGAAACAGCACTCCCTTCCAGCACAGCCCTCTCTTTCACTTGCCCGATTTTGGCGCAGTCGCGAAAAACTCTACATGAATCAAGTAAGATCTTTCTTTCCATACCTTCCGTCTTTTGTATTTGCTGTGTTATATATACGTTGTTTTAATGTTGTGAGCGGTTATTTTCATGTTTCAGTCAATTTGGTGACAGTTCCCGTTGCTTGAATTTTGATACTTTATATTTTTTCAATTTTGATCTCTTATAACCCAGTAGCAAGAGCAGAAATTGTATCAAAAGGCACAAATCTTACCTGTCCCTCGATCGACAGGCCAGTTTCTGCTAGAAGTTCCTTGTGAAGTATTTGATCAACTTTTATTGGCGTGGGAGAACTGGCCCGAGGGATCTCCGCTGGTTTTTCTCTGAGAACTCCTGGCGAACTCAAGACAGCGATCTCTGATTCTGGAAAAAAGACAGACACAGATGATATAACGAAAAAAAAGTGATCTGTTACAGCTAATCCATGAAAGATGGAATGACTCACTGAGAAACGAACTCGACGAATTCATCAAGGTAGGTTATACCAAGGCATATTGTTTGCAATTATTCACCAAAGTGAACTTGGTGTAGGGCGATCGGTTTTGATTATTTACTAGATACAGTATCTTCCCTCTTCCCCAACAAAACGATGAATAATTGCTTCAGTGTATGCTACACGCGTTAATCGCCAGCGGTCTAATCAATGAATATGTTTTGTGACAATAAAACACAAAATCTCAAACGAAACGATCGCTCGTACGTAAATGCTACAGTATTCACTGCCAAGCTAACCAATCAGCGGAAGCATCAAGCTCCATCATTTCACTGGTGTGGTAAATATTAATTTATTTTAAGAAATTATGCTTTATATCCTAGGGAACGAGAGGCAAAGGAGATAATGTGTTTATTTCTGTCGATTATATCGTTTTGTTCTATGGCCTTGATTACTATGTTTTGAAGAAACCGCATCGCCCCAAGCCCACAACTTAATGTAATGCAAATAAGTTTGCATAATTTTAACGCTAAATATGAATGCTACGGGATATAGCATTAACGTGATGCATATTCGTATGACAGGCAGTAATGACCGTGATAAAACAAGGAAAAGAGACAAGTCATTTTAAAATGTTTTTGCACGGGCAGTTAACGTCATCATTTGCGTTTCAAACGAATAAGATCGAAAACCATCGGCACTTCAGTTATAAAAACGAAGAGATTATGACACCAAAAATTATAAGCAGTTAAAAAACGAAAAAAAACTATTAGCAAAATGGAATAACAATAAAAGATCTTGATATGTATACAGCTGAATGCAAGAGGGTTATCATATAAAATGATGAATGACAAAATACCAAACAAGATATTCCAAATGCACAATTTCTCAGTACACTTTTTATTTCTTTTTGGTACACGAGTTTAATTCCCTAAATAAATTTGTTACATGGTGTTCAAAATTGACATTTTGAACCACTTGGAAAACCAGAATTTTGATTTCTGTACAAAGATAATTAATTCCAAATTGGAATTTTGCTATTTCTAACTTGCGATGAACAGCGTGTAAAGACTATTTACACCGCACTTCTTTAAAGAAAAATCTTGTTTTCGTTTGATGAATTTTTTTCAGATAAAGGCGCAATGGCAATAGTTGAGTTTACGACTGTAATTTAAATTGAATTATTTCGTTGAAATCAGTACAACATGAACTATCAGCTAAAAATATATTGTTGACGCTCATGTAAGGATATAGGGCTTAGTTCGGTGAGAGACTGGGTTATGTCATCGGTGGAGGATTGTTATCAGGAGCTAAATTACATTAAAGAAGAAAAAGGAAGTGCCTTTACTTTAAGTCATCGATACCTTCGAGTGACTGGGCGTTCGAATTTTCATTATTAAAGGTTATTGTTCGTAAGTCATGCCATTCTACCAGTCGAACCAGGAGCCGTCGATTTTCTAGACCTCAAGTGACACTATATCTATTCCTCTTCATGCGTCGCCCTTTAATTTTCCCTTCCTTAACGTTTTCGTTCTTTAAGAATAATGTTTTTCCGCTGTTTGGACTAAACCCGGAAAATTTACCTGAAGAAACATCAGCCGAAGCCAGTGCTTCCGTTGGTATGGACTCCGCGACAACGTCACCAGTTTGACCACTTACTGCTGTTCCGGCCCCAACTAGGTCAACATCCGGCGAAGGCGCGTTGGTCTTTGTACTCACAGATTGAACTTTTTCTTCCAAATCTAAAGTTAAGGTTACTGGGGGTAAGGCCTCGTTTTCGTGTAGCTCTGAAGAACGACTAGGCGTCAAAGCCTCGTCTTCATGCGCATTTTTAACCGGTGTTCCTGTTAATACTTCCTCTTCTTCTGCTGCAGTTGGAATAATCTCTGCAAGGAATTTAATTCAGTTACTTACTTGCAGCTCTGCTTTGTTACTTACTCACAGCGCCGTGTTTAATTACTTGTTAGAATAGTAATTAAAGTTCAAAGTTTGAAGTCTCGTGAATTTTGGAATCTAAACAAAGAAGCAAGGAAAACGACGGGAATATAAGAATGTGAATAGCGGCAAATCACGGCTGTATTACCTTGCTGTATATTAGCAACTGGGTCCACGATTTCTTCTTCACTGAGAGAAGGTACAGGGTGAAATGTATTCTCACGTGACGCTTCTGTTAGATCATCAACGGGCGAAATTGCCAGGTCTAAAAAGATAAAACAGTGAATCAAAGTCAACACTCCACTGGGAAGTGTTAAGTGCTTGCAGTTCCTGTTGCTAATACCTTCTAATTACCTTGCATAATACTATCACTCTCGTCACTTTCATGTCCTTCGTCTGGCTCATAGTCTTCTGAACGCTCAAACATGCCAGGCCATTCCTGGTCAGCAGTTTCCTCTCCAACAAGCAGGTCTTCATATAAACCATCCACCACTGACTGAGATCTAACCTGTGTCTCAGACACTTGAGCCAGATCAGCTTCACTCCCAAGAGTCGCCTTTGTTACCGCGCCTCCACTGGCCGACTTTCCACTTGACATCCTCGTGCCGCTTTCTACTCGGCTCCTCTCCTGTTTGAGATCGCTCTGCCGGCTTAAAACACCATGCTCACTCAAAGAGGATGAGGAGGACTTTCCCACCCCTATATTATCAACTGATTTCACTGCTTCCTCCCATTGTTCAATTGCGTCAGAAGACGCGGCTGATGATCCACGTGTTCTTTCTTTAGTGCCTCGACGAGACTGCACTGAAGGTGAGCGAGTAGATGGCGAACCCATCCGAGAGGTTACCGAGGAACTATGACGAGGAGGCAAGGGACCTCTGTTAACAACATCATTGGCAGGTGAGACAACACTATCACGTGATGGAGATACGTCAGAATCACGTGAAGGTGACCTAAGATCACGTGAACTCGACACGAAACTATCACGTGAAGGGGAGATAACTCTTGAATCATCCATCTCCCGAGTAAATTGCTCCAATGAATTTCGGCCACCTTCAACAACCTCTGCCGAATCATCTTCAATGCTCGAATATCTCTCCTGCATTCCCGGCCATGTTGGTGTGTCTTCATCGCGCTCTAGGTCTTCGAATGTCACGGGATGAAGCACATTCTCTTGATCACGTGACAGTGCGGAGAGCGTTCTGTCGTAACGATGAGATACACTGGAAAGGCTCGCACTGCGGCTAGAGTGGGCACTGGAACGGGACTTTTTGCTTGCTGTTCCTGAAGAGAGAAAGCACGCCACGTTAGAAAACGAACACGGTTGTTGTACTAAAATAAAAAAGTGGCTATTTTAACCTCGAGTTCGAGATCTCAGCTTCAGAAGTCCTAGTCTGTTCCAGGCTCCGAGATAATTGAGAAAGCGCTAACACGAAAATAAAACGGGAGGAAACTCTCCCTTCCTTTTTCCTTTTTCCCGCCCCGCCAACTTTTCGCATGCCTTTTTCTTTCGCGTCTTCCCCACTATCTGAGAGCCTGGAACAGGCAACAGAAGTCCTAACAAGAAAGATTTCCATTGTTGTTTTCACAGCTTGACCTTGTTTTCGCGCCTTCCCTCTATCTGAAAGCCTGGTACAGGCTACCATATACCGTCTCTGTTACTATACGTATTAAATTCAACTAAACAAAAGGAAAGTTCTCTGTCCTAGTATGTCCGTTATAAATGTTAAAGGGGATATGTCCCAAGGATATTGCTGTTTTAGACCAATTCTGTACTGGGGTCGCTATAAAGTGCTTTAACCATACAAACAATGTGTCTTTGGAGGTATGAAGCAGATATCAAACAAATTTCATTAGGGACTACTACCCATAATATTTTTTCGGCGATTTTTGCAGGCATGGCATTAACCCTTTCACTGCAAAACGTGACCAGAGGCAAATTCCACAAAAATCCCAAATTTCATTTCGTAAAATTTTTAAAAACAAATAGCACCACATGAAAGTACTTCCTAACAGATTTCATTTGAATGGTCATTCCATAGCATTTTGACCACAAACATAAAAGTTAGAACCACCTCACAAAACTCAATCATTCACTCTGGCAGTGAAAGGGTTAAAACTTGAAAAAGTTGGCCCAAATTTTCAAGTTTCAATCCATGTCTATCCTTGCCATCCATTACAACAGACAACAGGAAACAGTTTCAAAGTCTAAATATGGTCTTTTGGAATTCAACTGATGCAAAGAAACGTTTTAGCTTTATAAAAAGATAGCAAATAGCCTGGCGAAGCCCTTTTAAAGGCTGCTTTGCGTTCTGTGCTGGTCTGCAAATTACCACTCTTACCAGCGCTCAAAGCTCTCCGCTGCACGCTAACTTTCTCTTCACCACGACGTTGTAAGGAACCCGCGCTTGATGGGCGGCGAGATCCGCTCCCAGATTCCCCTTGGTCTGCTGGAAATGAGGCTTCATCCTCTTCCTCGATAACATGGGACGTTCGATTCCAGTCCTCACTCTAATTCACATAAAAAAATGACGGTCAGCAGGGTTTTCGACAGTTTTCTAAAGTAGCGGATATATTTCTGAAAGCAGCGGACGTGAAATTTTGTTGTGCGGCAAGCTACCTAGGGGGGTCTGGGGACATGGCCCAAGGAAATTTTTAAAATAAAAAACTCAGAAACGCAGTTTCCAGCTTTGTTGTGGGTCTTTCCTTAAACCTACGAAGGTGGTTAGGCGAAGAAATCTGGCCACTTCAAGTTCTACTGATGACGGCTCCGCACTCTGATAAATACTCCTCTTTCTTAGGTGTCAAGAACGTCAAATGTGCATTGAGAACTTGGGGTCAAAATAATGGAAACTAAGGTCGCGGAAATCTACGCAACATTTAATCAACGGCGCAGAAATTTACGTTTACAGAAATTGACGCGACCAAAATTAATGCATTAATTTTATGAAGCATTAATTTCCTCTAATAGGGTATCCCATGAATGGAGTTCTTGCTCGTGGGCTAAGTCTCCGACGATGGGCGTTTGTGAATTTAAAACAAGGTCAGAGAGAACTACCTTGCCGTCTGGACTGGCCAAACGTTGAACTTTGTTGAAGTCAGGAGTGGTGCCTCTAGAGGAACCCAAATGGAATGATGGAGAAGGACTGCGACTGAGTCTTCGTCGGGGAACTGGAGCCTGGCGCTGATAGCGGCCAAAACCTACATCTGCATTAATTATCTCGTGTAAATGGCTTGGCGTAGTTCCAAGAGCTGCAAAGAAATTATTCTAGTGACAAAGCTGTTTTTTTTTCTCCTAATGACGGCCTCTTACTGGTAATAGGAAAGAGGGAATCGTCCTGGGTGCGTGTTTGCATCTCCACAGGGTGTGAAAACTTGAAAGAGCGCTTATTTGAAGCTGTGCACTAAGTCAAAGAACTATCGCAACGCAGTATAGCGCAAATACAAACCTCGTGGGGGTGGTGGTGGTTTTGCACTTGTAATTCTTGGATTAGCTCTTGGTGACTCCAGGGTGGGTGGGATCGGTGCAGTTTTGGGTCTTGGTATTAAATCTTCAGTTTCCTGAAAGGTTGTAGACGACATACTCGGCATAGATGGCGAAAAGGTACTAAAGGTAAGATTTATTCTGGGTGATTTAGGAAACGAAAAGACAGACGTGTCATCTGGAGCCTCGCGTCTGTGAATTTAAAAAAAAACCACGCCAAGGCTTAGTATTAAAGGCTTCGTTACATACTGAACCTTTAAACCTAAATTTGACTGCAACGGCGTTGCAATACAAACGTTTACACCTTGTTGGACTACGAGTAGTCCCCCATTTTTCCTCAGGGATAGTACAGCGAGTGAAACGCGAGCTCGCTTGAAAATCACCCCACGTGAGAAAAGGCGACATCGTGCGCTCGCGTTTCGCTCCCTTTACTATCCCCTTTTTTGGAACAAAGTTTTAAACAAATTGACCAATTTCCCTTTAAAAGTTTTGACATGTGAAGAAACTAAGACAACGTTTTATGAACATTTTCTATCTGCTTTTACAGATATTAATCGTTATTATTATCAAATAATTTTTTAAATTTAATTTGACAGTAACTTTCACCACTGTTTGAAAGGAGCAAGGACAAATCAGCATGCGCAAAGCAACAACTAAAGCTGAGGGTACAAGTAAGTCCAGCAATAAATAAAAGATGAAAGTACTTTGTTTCACTTAAAGACCTGAAGAGTAGGCTTAAAAAAATCTGAGTCAGCATTTGAAGTCCTCGTCAACTCTTAACTAAACTCTCTCTTTCTCTTTTTCTCCAGATTTAGATGCCCGCGCTAGCGTCAACAGCTAAATCTGAGTCAACATTTGAAGTCCTTGTCAACTCTTGACTAAACTGCGAGCAGTCTCTCTCTCTCTCTCTCTCTCTCTTTTTTTCAGATTTAGATGTTCATACAAGCATCAAATCGCTAAGCACAGACACAAGAAACAAGGGCACCTCTCACGTCTCATGTTGTGTTCTGGTTGGGGGAGGGGGTAAATACTAGACATTACAACAATTTATTAAGAGACTTGACTTCAAGTAGCAACTTAAAATAACCATAAAATATCCCCCAAAATTATTAAAACTACCAGCCCTTACAAATGTAACATTTACTTACCCTTCAGTGTCAATATTAGGCATGTGATCTGATGAAACAACTCCATGTTCTAAGTGTTCCTTATTGTGGCCATGCCCAGTTGATCTGCCATACTTCATGTAGTCTTCGATGATACCAGTAATCTCCTCGTCATCTTCCAGGAAATGAGAATAAGTGTTACCAGAGTAAGAAGTTCTGGTTGAAAATGGAGTGTGTGACCTGAATCTTCTTGGAGAGATATGACCACTGAAAATAAAATAAACAGTCAAGTGTTAGGACACTACATCTGTAACTAACTAAGCAGTACCGCCTGGTGGTACTCTAGCTGTACATTTTATCGGGGGGGATGGGGTGGTGCTACTGGATTTTAGAATATGAAACCATTTAAGTTCAGCTGTATTCTTGTAAACCCAAGGGGTTGTTAGAAAAGAGCAAAAAGTGACTTCTGATGAATTAACATTACATTCTCCTGTCTGCCCATGAGACAATAGGAGAATGTGACATCAGATCAAGAAATAAGTCTGCGTTTGCAGGCATTCTTTTTACAGAAACCTCTACAACATGGATACTTGCTTTTGTTCCCATGGTGACTCTAATAAAGAGGTATCAGTGTACAAAAATAATGGTAAACTTATGCAACAGAATGGAAAGAGGAAAGAAGACCGCAAAACCTTGGGTGACAAGCATAACAAAATTATGCTTGACAAAATTTTGTGCCAATCTTCAACCTCCTTTAAACAGACCCTTTTGTAAAAGACTAGAACACAGTTATATTAAGTGAAGATTGCGATAAAACAATCAAGTACCCAGTGTTGTCACATTTTTCATGAACAAACGTAGATTTTGCCAGCCTCCTCTTTCTGCCCTCCTGTTGCATAAGTTCTTCACATTTACATTACACACCTGGTTTTTTTAAGTTCTTCAAGGTAGTAATCTGGGTCAGCACCTGGCTGAACATTCTTATCTGCTGTCAGGTTTTCTGAGTCAAGGTAGTGAAGAAATCTTAAAAACAGTGTTTTGTCTCTTTTCTCCAGATTCCCTTTTAGTGATGTTTCCTTTGGACTGTCCACGACGCTGCCCTCCCAAGCTTCTTCATCCTAAAGTCAAGAATACGGTGAAGTCCAAAATAAATAAAAAATATGTTTTGAAAATAGTTAATAATAGTTAAAGAGGAGATTACAATGTGTGCCTCAGAAAGTTACCTTGGAGAAAGGAACAAAGAAAGGAAACAGATCGTTTAAGACAACAGCTGTGGAAAGAAAGCGTCTAGAAGGTAGAGATAAAGTATTTTTGTTTTATTAAAGCAAAAGTGATGAAAATCAATCAGTGTGTTCCAATAACATCGATATCTATCTAACTCTAACATCTGCCAGAACAAAGAACAAAACAAAACAAACGCAGAAACAAAAACAGATCAATAATTAACAAATCATCAAAATGACAGATAGTTTCATTTTAGTTTCAGTCAAGTTTTTTGAAAGCTCACCTCTTTTCCAAACTCAAGCACCGAGTGGGTCAAATTTCCCAAAGTTCTTAGTTTTAGCCCTGCTTCATACACACTCTCCTTTTTAAGGTGGCTCTCCACATTACCATGGCAATGAAGATCATCACTTGGGGTAAAAAGGAGAATAGCACCCTTGCGAGTGACAAATGTCTTTGGGAGGGAGAGTTGTCCATCATCCAAAACAAAACTGCCTGCAGACTTGGCAGACTTGTGACGCGGTGATGTATGATTTAGTAACTGAGGAAAGAGAGGCTCTATAGGGGACTGGAAAACAAGAAAGAAATATGATCAATACATAATTATATAATTCTAAAAATTACTTAAAATTCTGAAAAGCTCCTTAGGGAGAATTAATAAATTGTATAATTTGTATTATGTATTGTAACTAGTATACTAGAATTCATTTATTATTTACTGCAGTCAAAAGCCAATATTAATGATGACCATTAAGATCAGGTGGATAAATCTGACAAAACATCAGATAAAACACCACCAGGTTTTCATCTGACATGAAACATGTTTTTCATCTGAGATCAAACACTCGCATTTAAATGAGATGTTTTGTTGATTAACACAACTCATGAAACAATGCATAGTCCAGAGAAAACATGCAGGGTGCAAAGAAAGTGAGTTTTACAGCCTGCCATTAGGGCAAGCTGTAGCTAGCCCAAAAACCATTTTGAATTAGCAGGATTGATTACAATCCTGTGATTTGAATTTCCCAAAAGCACTTCGGGCAAGTTAAGAACAAAAATCAATAGCCGAATAACAAAATCCACTAGCAATATTTTTTCTACCAAAATTTTTTTAAGTGTTGTTCACGAAAAATTATCTATTCATGTCAGTGTCCAAATCTACAGCCTGTAAAACATAAAATTTTGCAACTTGATCACAATAGGATCAAGATTACTGGAAAGACGAATTTAGTGGTGCATGAAGGTACGGTAACGGTCAAAGGTTCATGCAGTTTTGTTTCTTTTAGCGGTTAAATTAATGTTAAACAAGATGACACTCAGCTTGATTGCTCTGACATTTCATTGAGTAAAATTACCTATGTTTGCACACTGGGGTGTCTTTTTGGTCCTTTTTCGATAATTGTTCAAATATGGTGCTCCGGCCGTTCATATTCTGCTCTTAAATTACTCTTGTCAACTTACTTATTATTATTTTCACCTTTTTTTATGTTTTGCAACACAATTATGAGAAGCATTGTTCAAGTATACGGACCTAAACCTTCGAATTTTCCGTTCTTTCGATCTGTTTGGAGTTAAGGACTTACGTAATAATTAATATTTACGAACACTGTCAATTATCAGCCAGACGGTTTTTGTAAATTATTACTTCCACTAGCACCGTCTCAAATTTCTCAGTCCTCTACAATATTTTGGTCGAATAATTCAGACCACCAAAACGAAATGCAGATGCGCCAAAAAGTTATTCAAAGATCAGGCTTTAACCCGGTTTGTATGAAACGAGCCCGACCAGGGTTGAAAGCTCTAAGCGCCTTACATTGATAAACAAAACTTCAAAGGTGTTGAATTCACCCGCATCTCAGTCTGCCATTATCCAGCATTATCAATTTTCCCAGATATGAATTTCAATCCCCTTGCCCTTGATCGCACTGTGTAATTCTACGCTAAGCAAAAACAGAAGAGTTTCATCGTGCATGCAGATTTCGGCATAGATTGAATGATCATTTCAAAACAGAAAGAAATCCGAAAGGAAAAGAGCAGTTTTTGTCTTACCGTTTGATCCAAGCCATCTTCAAAATCAAGACCACCATCCCAGCCAGCTTTTCCGCGGGCTAGCGGCGAAAACATCTACTCAGTAGACCATTACACTGTAAAAAGTAGCATAAATGTTCTTAGCATTTACTCTAGCACGCCACATCACGCCATCTTTGCTTCTTGCTAAATCACGTTCACACAACAAAGACTCGGTCGCCTTGCCAACATGCTAATTTAAATAATGGCAGGTTAATAAGTTAATCTCCTGTGAAATACTGGAAGTATTAGACGTACAAAAGACTACGTCAGCCGTTTGAACGGTCACGAAAGCCGTTCTGATAAATGAACAGATATTGGCTTTTAAATGAACATTTGTTCATTTCACAAAAACTTTGCGAGCTGCAAGGAGCTGCAAGCTTAAATTTAACAATGGGTCCGGAAAGACCATTAGTATAAGCTTTAAATACCAGGGGCGAGCGCCCGGCAAAAGAGAGGATTTTGCCTAATCCGGTTTGTCTGTACACTTCCGGCAGTGTTTTTAGACAGTGCACTATGTGTACCAAAAGGCTCTTGTTTCTAAAATGCTCAGCTACTTGGCCGGTTAAGGCCGGTTAGATTTCTGAGATTTCTCTTCAATTTCTCTGGCCAGCGGCAAAGCAGTGAATATAAAAATTGGATTCATCAGTCGCTTGCCTAGTTTGCTAAGACAGTGTCGCTAAGGAAAACTTTCACTCACATCTATGAACAACACAAAACAAGTAGCAAGTCATGATATCATAATGGTAATCCAGGGAAATCCGTGGGTGTGTACCCGGTAATATTACAGCCGGCTCGAAAGAAAACTCCATGGATAAACCTTTCTAAACTACTAGACCCCTCCCCTTGCACTAATATTATCTTAGCAAAGACACTTGAAATTGATACAGGTTCGATTTCGCTGCCGAAATTTCAGTTATTTTTATTTGATGTCAAACAATCAGTGAAAAATCGAATGCTGAAACAGGGTGTGGCATGTTGCCGTTCCTCGCGACACTTGACTTACCGTCAATGACCGAGTTAGCGCCTGGGCTTTTTACTTTTCTGAATCTAGACTAGAGACCCTTATTTCTGTAAATACACCTTAACTGAGTAAACTAGAACGTACCTGTAAGAAGAAACACTAATCTGTAGACCCGGGGGACCCAGGGGCCGGCCCCCCTTATTTTTAGACCAAACTGTTGTAACTGTACTCTCTATTTTTAAGACAGCGACGGACACTTTTGAAACCGTCGAAGGACATTTGAGAATTACTTTATGCACTAAGAAAATACCTCAAAACGGAAATGTAGGTGCTCTAAAAGACAATAAATTGAAAAATATTTTGTAGTCTTTCTCCAGTTGGCAGGGCACGGTATACTGTTACGCTTTTAGGCAACAAACCCGTAAACGTTTGCAATGAGCGCGTTTGATTGCGTTCTGTAAGAAAATCATTCCATTAAGTTCTGTTACAATGTTCCAGTTTTAGCTGATTTGCATAAGTTAAACAGATGATTATTGGTGTTACGTTACCTTATATTAACTCTCGATAGCCGGAACAGGAGCCGACGGACGCCTCCCTAAGACGAACGGTCCCGAAAGTGTTCGTCTTAGAGAGAGATGACTGATATTAAGTTGGACTGAAGAAAGATGCTATTTCGAATAAGGGAGCTCGTAAAAGGATCGGGAGGGTACGAATTTGAGCATTTAGGTAATTAAACGCTCTTCTCCTAGCAATTGACTTATCTCTTTTAACCTAAATGGCTGTGCTGACTAAACTAATCTGGTCTAATCTTCTTCCTTCTCTCACCGACTTAAACACTAAAAGAATCTAAATATGTAGTGACCTGAATTCCACAGAAACAAATGTCGCTTCTGTCAAGCACCATTGGGCGGCCTCAGTTTCATTCAGTACTGATTATGACCAAAAACGAGGGCTTTGTAGCTGCTATTAATATCTAGGCTGGGGGGGTGATAATAACAAAACAGCTACAAGGTAACGCCAAAAAATTAAAGGACACATGATTACACTCATATATATACCGAATACAACAGCTATAACAGCCCTGATACGCCGACAGCCCATGTTTTTTCTTACACAAACTGGAACCAGCCAATCATCGAAAAGAGCGGCAGTTCCATTTTAGCGCATTCATGGGACAAACATACGGGAAAAATACCTGAAGGCCCGTGAACAGTTTGAAACTTCCACAACAGCTAGCTATTAACAGCCTGATTATTGAGTAGTAACGGGGTATTTTCTTGGTAGCCTGTAATCGACTCAGATACTGGGGAAGACGCGAAAGTGTAACGCGCGGGAAAATATGGCGGGAAAAAGGAGAAAGGAAGGAAGCCCTTCCTCCAGTCCCAGTTACCTTCTTTTTTTTTCATGTTCCCCCAGGCTATTTTCTTTCTCTTCGCGAGGACTTTAATTTTACCTGCCCCAATCTTAGCTTCTTGCGGCTCCACCGCGACAAAACACAACAACACTCGCCCGCTAATCCGGCCAGTTACGTAGGCTGATTGAATCGCTGATGTCTGTCTGTATCACGAGTCTAATCCAAGGATCGTCAAGGTGTTCTATTGTTTTCCAAAGAGATTTAGTCGCAGCGTGAATTTTGGCAGCAGTACAATCGATTTATGAACAAAAAAAAAATTTTTATCAGCATTTTTGCTGAAACTTCTTTAATTGAATGGTACAACATAACAAGTTGCACTGACACGACTTCATGTTAGTTTATTGAATACACTCTTACATGTAAACCTATAATACAAGTATTTCTCGTTTTCGACTACCATACATACACACACAATAATCACCCAGGTACAGAAAACTAGATTATTAATTTACTGTGTAACCAGCAACATGACAATTTATTTTTGGCCCCTTGCAATAGAATAATAATTTGCAGTATCTACAAGGACGTAGATAAATACTTCACTTTTTTTTGAAATACATTCTATTACAACAAAGATATACATTCATGGCAGTAAACACCACAAAACAGCAAACCTTTTCTGATAATTCTACAATTTAACACTGCAATGAAAAAGTATATTATTTTTTAAACCACACTTATAGAATCAACTCTGGAATATATTACAGTTTCGATTTTCTATATATTTTCATCAACTTCCAACAAACCAAGCCTCGTTAAAAAATTTCCTTAAAGAACTAAAAGAATCGCGAATGTTTTTCGTGAAAGACTGTTTTATAGCCCGACGGAATCACCGATGAACATATTCAAAGTCTTTCCTAAAAGAATACGAGAATATTTTGAAAGAGTGTTTTCAAAAGTATCGAATAAAAGTTAGGCCCCAGTTCCCCGATCCCTGGGATCCCTGCACTAAAGAACAGAGAATGCAGAGCATCATGGGAGCGATGTACATTCCCAGAAGACACCGTGCTAGAGCAAGGAAGCTTACTTGGGAACGAGGCAGTATACATTGAAAGTGTTGATCCTCTTTTGATCCGTAACCAGTGACAAGACAGTGTAAGTCCACCCATCTATAAAACTTACCAGAATTTACGGGTATAAACTACCTTACTTATGGTCCAGCCACAAGGTAGAATATTGCGCGCCATAGTTTTTCGTGCACCCCTAAAGATTGTTGGAAGCAATACTGTGGAAGTATAGAAGCTAGTTTTATCAGTTTTTTTTTTTACCGAAATTGCTATAAATAAAAGTCTTCTCGTATTCACCAATTTGATTTCAACTTTGCGAGAAGATTTCAATCTTGATCTACTAGTAGGTCAGCTGACCTAAAACCGTAGCCGGTCCTAAAATGTTGCCGCTTCGAGTTGCAGGACGTGTTCAAACATGCAATAGCATCGAGTGAACGTTGCGTTGTGTGTCTAGATTAAGCCATATCCCCTCTCTTGAGCTAACAAGTTCAGAATTATATCGGCAGGAGATACTACAGCATCAAAAGAAGAATTAATTATAAGCCTGAGGGAACCAACATATGCAACAATAAGGAGTATCTACAAGTTACCTCAGGGAACGACGTCTGCAGTAGGGTACGCCAAAAAATGTCCTTCGATATATAATGTGCTAAATACATTTACACTCTAATAAATAAAGTCGGGTTTAAAATGGGAAAGCCTGAAGAAAACCTAACTTTCTCCTAGAGATAAAAAATGTCAAGAATTTTTTAACTCCTCTAAAATATCTTCATAAAATGGTGTAAATACTGCAATATTGTGACCGACTACACGCGCAAATCGGCCGGTAATTTCTGATAGTTCAGAGTTCACACAAGCTAGTCCCTGAGGAATGGTAGGTGAAGTGGATCTTCTATCTTGAGATGGTGAATAACGCGCAGCATCTCTTCTTTGATGGAGTAGACTCTTAATTCGGGTTAACATGAAGTCATACACCCGGGTGCCTGCAAGGTGAAAAGAGGTAGAACTTATTTTAGAGTTAGGAGAAAAAACGAAGAAGAAGAAGAAGAGGAAGAAGAGGAAAAAACTGGCAAGATGAGCTTCCAACTTGAACCAAGCGAGTCATTAATCTCATATCCAATATGCAGTACAGAGGAAGCTCTCGTAAGCGGACCCCTTCGGGACGAGAAAAAGGGGTCCGTAATAGACCTTTTTACCGATACGGTGGCCATATTGAATTTATTAGATGTAAGGAGTATTATGGGATGCCCAGGGGGGCACTCGCTCAGTATTTACGCGCGCTTTTGGGGCAAAAGAGAACTTCACTGTATATTTCTCGGGAAAAGACGATCATTAGAGAGTGTTAGCATTGACAACGAGTACGACTACGAGAACGAGATTTTACCATTGACTATAATGCGCATGCGTTCTGCTCAGAACACGTGCTCAACTCGTTCTGGCAACTCCTTCCACGACGAGATTTCCTCCAAAACTCGAAGTGCGAAGAACGAGTTTTTGAAAGGTAAAGTTTATCTTTTGTAGCGGGTTATCTCTGCCATAGGTGTGTCCCATAAGCACTTAAACTCTTCATCGAAGGCCTAGGATGGTATTTTGGGGCATTTTTTTGTTCTGAATAGCACATTAATCCTCCTTCCTTTCTGTCAACATCGTGTCAAAATTTTAGACATGAGAAGCTCTCATGGTCTCCGTCTAGCGTGCTCATAAACTTAACCTTTTTCGTTTTTTTTTACAGCTTCTTTCAAGACGAATCAACCAGAGACGTAAGTATTACTGTTTCTTTAATTATTTTTCATTCACATCATTTTATTTCTTACAGAGCATAGTCCGTACGAACCAAGTTTGTCACATCAAGAGGTCGCATTGTTTACATAAACCTAAGAATTACGGTCTCACATTTCAAAGTTTTTATGCCCTGTCTGTTTATGTTTCAGGAAAAGAAAACTTTTTATATGGAAGCGTCAGCATGATTCTTGTCTTTTACGTGAAGTCTTACATCTAGAACCCTACAATCAGAAACAGTCAGATAGAGGGAGAGTGTGAAGAGTAATTGCAGAGAACCTGAATACCAACACGCAGCACGATTTCAAGACAACAGATCGATCGTGTAGGGATAGATTTAACAAGCTTATGGAGGAATTTGAGAAGAAAGATCAAGAAGAAAAGAAAGCCTCAGGAGTAGATGCCGAATCATTTGAAAATGGCGCCTAAAATGACAATACTATCCCAAAATATTTTTTTTCGTGAAGTCGTACTCGTATGTCCTGCTTACACATTTTTTACAAGCACGACAACGAGTACGAGTACGAGATGGACTCGTTCTCGTACTCGTACTCGTTGTCAATGCTAACACTCTCTATTATTTCATCCAAACACGGCGCAACGATCTTTTTTCCCATTACAATCTTTTTCTACGAAAACTTAAAGAAAAATTGGCCCGAAAAGCGCGCGTAAATACTGAGCGAGTATATCAGATCGTGCTCATGCCCCCTGGGAATGAATCCCAATATGGCCGCCGTATCGGTAAAAAGGTCTATTGGAGCTGGCCGCTTACAAGCATGGTTCTCGTGTGCGGACACTAGAGGGATACGGGTTAAATGGCCACTAACGGGAGCTTGCCCAGCTACAAATACATACTGGGAATGCGAAAAAACTGTTTTTAAGTGTTTGGCTATAATATTGTTCTGATGACATTGCCATTTAGGCGCAAGCATAAAATTCAAATGGTGTTTTGAGGTGTAACCGGACGTGTCTGTGAAAAAATTAAAGAAAAAAAAAAAAAAAAACAGGCACTGAGTCATCCTCGGAGACCCAGGGGCAGATAGTGGGGGCGAGGGAAAGTCTAAACGGGGGAAAAAATATGGCATGAAGAAGTAAAGAACGGCGAGAAGAGCCCCTGGGGATAATGTCTTACCAGACCAGTTCCAAACGGTCGCCGCCGTTCTGCCTTCTGATTGGGCAGAAAAACACAAAAGTTTTCTAGCACCGATCAGAAGTCAGAACGGCGGCGACCGCTTGGAACTGGTCTGGTAAGACATTGTCCCCAGGGCTCTTCTTGCCGTTCTTTACTTCTTCATGCCATTTTTTCCCTCCCGTTTAGACTTTCCCTCGCCCCACTATCTGCCCCTAGGTCTCCGAGGATGGCACTGAGTCTGATATAAATTCAGCCATTGTGAAAAAGGGCAAAATAATAATACAAAAAAAAAAAAAACAAGATTCAGAGGCCAATGAGATTTCATCATTTCGGGTGTCCGCTTACGAGAGCTTAAAACTAAAGTTAACATCTAACTCGTAAAACCCTGAAAGTGTCCACGGCCGCCTACGGGAATTGTCCGCTTGGGAATGTAAAAATACTTAGTTTGTACTGTAAAAGCTCTAGTAAGCCGACACCCTCGGGACAAGTTCTCTAACCCTGAAGAAAAAAAAGGATGATTATCAAATGCCTGTTATAATTTACCACTCACTTATTAAGTTAAATACGGTGTTATCAGGGGATGTTATTCCTTCAGTTTGTCCTTTCAGCATGTCTTTTTGTTGAGATGTGAGTTTGTTTAAACCTCTGTCATCTAGAAACTTTTCAGTTTCTCGTACAATCTGTTCATACATTCCAGGAAGAGCAGATGGGAAGTCCCTAAAAGAAAAGAAATATAGTATGCTGAAATATTTCCTGCGCAACATTTGAGTAATCGTGATTAAATAATCACTGTTATTATTCATTCAAAACATTTCGCCGTTGCTGATTGGCTCCAATCCCCCGGCTAATTAACAATTTTTTCCTCTAGCCCGAATGGGCTCTGAGTCAATAGCCCATGAGGCAGAAGGCCAAATGGGCTATTGACTCAGAGGCCATGAGGGCGAGAGGAATAATTGTTAAATAACCAACTGGTGCTTACCATATTTGGAAGATGCGAGCAATATACCATCGATTCGATGGTATATTTGATTAGAAACGAGGCTACGAGGGTAAGAGATCATCGCTAAGCCGCCAAGCTGTTTATTCACGTGCGAACTAAGACAATAGCCCATTTTCGAGTTCGCTATGAACGCAGAGTTAAAGAAAGTGAAGATGCATTTTTTACAGCCTTAGTCTCAATCTGAAGTAATATATTCACAAATTCCAACGAGAAAATGACCTGTTTATTACTCTGTCTATTGTGTATATTCAAATTTCAAACACTTACTTGCCAGAATTTCTGAATATTTTACTTAGGTCGAGGCTTACCCTGTATGAATGTGTCGTTAATATTTGTATTCAGCGGTGAACTAAATCTGAACGGAAGAAATACAAGAATCGCTAAACATATCGCTCGATGGATGTTATATACTTTTTGAAGAATATCTGCAAGGAAAACTTTTATATCATGAAATCTTTCCAAGAAATAGGCTAATTAGGTTTGAAGAAAGTCGACGAGGAGGTACTTGGAAACATTTTGAATGAATGATAAAACAATTATTGAATCCGCTTTCGTAAGATGTGAAAAATTATGCAGATCTCGGCCTTCAGCCTCAGTGGATAACATCCTCCTCGATCGGCATAATTCTTCACATCCTACCTACTCAGCCTCATTAGTCTCGCTTGCTTGAATTCACCTTCTGAGCGTCAGATTTCACGTGTAGTTTCACGTGACTTTTGACGACCTTTGTTGTAAACAAACCCGCAAAGTTCGGACATTCGTTCTCTGCCACATACTGTACTTGTACGAACTACACTCGCTATTTCAAGTTTGCGTTAGTTTATAAATGTTATTTCCCTTTCGCTGTTTGAGACTCGAAACGTTTAAGGTTCAAAAATGTCTGAGCAGAAGAATAAGAGCGATTTTAAGGCCAAGAACATGGCAAAAGTTACGGCAGGAACGAGGAGTGCCTGCAATGGAAATTCCGGTCTCAGCAGCTGAAATGGTGTTAACATTGGAACTAAACCTTGAAAGAGATAAAACCGGTGATGTAGGCAAATTTCATGATACCTACATAATTCACATTTCAAAATACATGATCACACGCGATCACACGCTATTAATTCCCAATCCATTTTCGCTACAAAGACCGTTTGGCTATTTGTTGTTTGACATTTTCCTTTTCAATTTGTATATTACGGCAAACAGGGACTCGACACTTGATGACGGTTATGTTGATGGCATTTACTTACTGAGGTTGAATCAAGATGTCTGTAGCAAAACAGTGCAGGCTTTAGTGAACATACACTGGATTTATATTTAATCATGTAGAGACAAAGGGACGCAGTGTACTATACTTTAGCCAAGATAAGCATAGCTTATAATAGTTCTTGTCGAGACGAAAATGTAAGCACACTGCCGTATAATGAATTATAAATGTGTCTGCATCATTAGTTTCATTTTCGTCAAGTTTAGATCCACCTTGCAAAACCATTCTTTCAACTGAAGAGGAGATTTCTACGCGCTTGTTGAAACTCCATGTACCGGCGAATATTTTTTCTGTTTTACCACACTCGAGGCGGTTAAAGTCACTCCAGATTTTCCGCTTTGACATTTTGAACCTTAAACTATTCGATTTTCAAACAGCGAAAGGGATGGAAAACATATAAGTTAAGTAGCGACTCGTAGTTCGTACATGTACAGTATCTGAGAGAGAACAGATGTCCGAACTTTGCGGGTTTGTTTACAACAAAGGTCATCAAAAGTCACGTGAAACTACACGTGAAATCTGACGCTCAGAAGGTGAATTGTAAACTAAAGCTTCACTCCTAACGATTCTACTGAAAAAAAATTGAGGACGTTACATGCAAAGCTACATGCGCTAGAACCACTTATTAAAATTTTCTATACATTTGTCTGTAAAAATTTCTCTTCCAGCCGACTAAAATTTCCCGGGAAAAATTGCAGACAAATATGTGGAAAATCTAAGGCAAGCGTCTGTTGAAATTTAAGCGCAGTTACGGCCCAAAAAATTTGTTGGTAAAATCCTTTGTTATGTAGTTTTAGTTTGCAAATATTCATATTTTTCTTAAGAACAGCTGTTTTAAAGAAATTATTCGACATTAGATTCTCATACAAATACTGCAATTTCTCTATCGTGGGTGCCAGATTCGCCGCTCGTGTCTTCGGCCTTCCGCCGAACACGTGTCGGCCTGCGGCCGACGAAACGAAGCTCCCCGTCAAACGGGAGAAAAAACCTCTCGTACCCGGGGTATTATTTCTCATGCGGTTGCCTACTCATCAAGATGGCTTCCAAAACCGCGACAAGGTCTGTTGAGCAAAGGATGGGCGCATAGGGGTATTCTGACTCACCCCTCAGATACACCGTCCAAGAGAATATAAAGCACTTTCTTAAGACTGGTGAGATAAGCTGCATCTGAAGCCAGCTGTTGACCAACAGTGTTCAGTGTTACGAGTACAACTGAGGCAATTAGAGTGGTGCGGCGGATACTCCATCTCATCTCAGCCAATCGAAACTCGTCCATAATCAAAGTCTACAAACAAGAGAGAGGTAGATACTAATAAACACAATAATTTGCGATTTCATCAAATGCATTCATACAGTAGATTGGGACCCCCACTTCCCCTTCTGGAAGGGACAGTAAATAATCTGACAGGTCCTTTCTGTGTGCCCCCTGTGGATACAGTGCACCTTCTCAGAACTTCTCACATGAAAAAATCTTACATTCTTAACTGTATGGTCAGATTATTGTCGTTATTATTATTTATTTATTTACGTATCTATTTTCTTTGACATATTTATGTTTTCGTCTAGTATAGTGAACACTGTTTTTAGGAGTATTTTATTTTAATAAAAAGGGTTAAAGCAGAAGGCACGATTCTGACAGCAGCTGACAGCTTAAATTGTGGATAAAAATAGGAATGTGATACGTCCCATTGACGTTGATGTTTTGTGTGTTATCCCATCTGCACAGAAATTCAGAGGAATTGTGGATTGTGTGTGTGTTTAAATTGCAAAGCTCCCTGTCACTTCTAGAATTAGATGCTAAAACAACCAGAATTTTTAGGCAGCAGTTGCTTAGAAGTCTAACAAGGCCATGATGGCTTGCTCCAGGAAACCACTGGAAAAATTAGCCTGGGACCAGGCACCGTAGTGGGAGGAAAAAATAAAAAATGGGGTGAAGCAGCTAAAATCGGCAAGCTAAGCAAGCTCGCTTCTCTCACCAATTTTTTCCCCCCTTGCTAAGATTTTTTTTCGCCTTTTCCCTCACTGTGGAGCCTAGTCCCAGGCTATGGAAAAATGTATTAGACTTAAATGACATTAGAATGAAAGTGCTACCAAAAACATCCACCAAATTTTTTTGGTATAGTAGTATAGAGACAGTTTTGGCCCAGTAATGATCAGTGTTTATAAATACAATTATACCTCAGGGTAAGGCCAGCCTGGTTCACCGAAAATAATTCCTAAATATCCATGAACTAAAACATCTGATAAACTAGTGTCTTGTAGCTTCCTCTGAAAGTCTGTACTGTCTACACCCTCTGCTGAGTTTTGTGCAGCAGTCCTGGGACTTGTCCCTATTGCCACCTCTGCTCCTCTTTTTAACCACACCTTAGTTGACATAAGACCATCTGAAAAGTAATAAAGATGATTTAATTTTGTGTACTTGTAAGGAAAATAACCTAATCATGTACTCATGACTGTGCCCAAAGAATAATAAAATAGTGTCAATAATTAGCAAATATTGAATGAAGCTGATGAGTAGGATGCGAAGAATTAAGCAGATCTAGGTGGATGTTATCCACGGAGGGTGAAGGCCAAGGTAGATAACATCCTCTGAGATCTGCATAAGTCTTCACATCATGCAAAAGGCAAATTCAATCAAATTACTAATTCAAAATGTTTCTAAGTACCTCCTCATCAACTTTCTCCAAACCTTTAGCCTATTTCTTGGAACAGTTTCAGGATAAAAACAAATGTTTTTCCTCGCAGATACTCCTCAAAAAGTAGATAACATCCATCAAGTGATATGTTTAATGTAGTTCTTGAACTGTTCTTAACAAGATTACCTCATCATAGACTTTCTTCAAACCTTTAGATTATTTCTTGACACAGTTTCAGGATATAAACGGATGTTTTTCCTTCAATGTCGATACTCTTCAAAACGTAAATAAAATCCATAGATAATATGTTTAGTGTATTCTTGTATTTCTTCCATTCAGATTTAGTTCGAAATTCAGCGATTTTGTCTTCAGATTCCTGTGAACGCCATTTGTTTTCGGCTTGATGATGGTCTATTTCCCTATGGCTAGCAGCCTCATTTTCAATCAAATTATATGGTCTATTGATCAACCTAGTTTCCGATCAAAATTAATAATATACCATCCAATCGATGGTATGTTGCTCACATATTCCAAATATGGTAAGCGCCAGTTGGATATAAAGAATCAGCCAGGGGATTGGAGCCAGTCAGAAAAGGTGAAATGTTTTGAATAAATAATGAGTATTTGCTATTGGTAGCGAGCTAACCGTGCTTGCTTGATTAGTCACTTTTTACAGGGTCTGATATCCCACCCAAGAAAATTGAATAATTTAATGCTGCACAGTGACTGATAAGACAATGAGATTTTTCTTTCTCTACAAATTATTTCTTCCTATTTGCCAAGGCTTGCCATATACATTCATAACTCAAAATATGCACAGTATTCCAAACTTTGATTATTTATTTATCATTTCATCTCGGAAATTGTTTAAATTATAAAAAAGCAGACCTGACAGACCTGTCCCTGCTAGTAGAAGCCCTTCATTCAAATTCTTATCAGCAACCTTTGGCGTTTTGATGTGAGGTTTGACTGTATTTACTGTTATATCTCAAATTCACAAATTAAATACATGTTACACAAATATATTTTCTTTGTTGTAAATTTACTTATTTACCTGGATTAGATTGAAGATAATCTTTAAACTTGTTTCTCTCATATTCAATGGACTGTTGCACTAGATGAGGCTTAATGGATTGAAGTTGAAAATTTGCCATGTCTACCTTCATTGCATCCATTAAATTAAACACTTCCCTAAAAAACATAATGACAAACAGCAAATAAAAGTTATTGTTTCATGTGAGTTTCACCAGTTCCAGGTAACAGTAACTTGCAAGTCCAAAATCAAGGTTGCACTGGAGAATCTGAAGAATAAACACTAACCATTTCAGAAAAACAGTACTATCATTTCTTAACTTAATTAGAAGACATGCTAACCCATGGGCCACTTTACACCTTTTGCTGTTCATTACGAGAAAATACGCCATCATTTGCATGAAACGGTGACCAATAGTGCGAAGATACATTCTACGCAGAAACATAGACATTGTGACCGCAGCTAAATGTGCTAAGGGGTACCATTTCATAAACTTACCTGCCAAAATGTTTAAATAGAGAGGTTATTGAGGGATATAATAGATTGAAATTCAGGCCTAATTTTTTTGAATTTCTATTTTCGTGTATTAAATGTAAAGAACGCTCAACTGATTGTACAAGCGCATTAATGTTTGTCTTATCCATCCTAAGGTTGTCCAGGAATGCCATTGAATTGCAAACAGTGTCATAAAAATGTTAATGAATAGTGTTTGCGCTTTAATGTTTGTCTGTTGTCCCTATTGACTTTCAAGATGGTGTTAATGCATGACTTTGATGTTGGCATTTTGAAAGTACATTTTTCTCTTTCGTTTGCCAAATGATGCATATGAATGCCCAAAAGTGTTATTGAATGTTGATTAAAATGCAAAAATCGTAATTGAATCTGATTTGTGTGCAGATGTTTGTATTTTTGCGCTAATGAATGTACAGCTGTATCTTCGCACTATTGGTCGCCGTTTCGCACAGATGATTGCGTATTTTCTTGTAATGAACAGCAAAAGGTGTAATAATAATAATAATATAACTTTGAAACAATAATTTATTGCTTTGAACATGTCTGATGTAGTCACAAGGTTTCGGTCATCTGCTGTTTTCTATTTTAACAGTTCACTTTTGAACAGTTGTATAAGCTGCTTTCAGGAGTATCAAAATAAGCAGCCCCTACATATTTAAGCTCAAATTATAAAGGACATTAATTCAATTCGAATCTCTATCTGTTTTGGCATGTTCTTTACCCATCTTGCAATGGAATAATTTTTAAAACATTTTTTGTTTCTTTTTAGCAAAAAATTGTTTACCAATGAGAACAAGATCACATGTGTATTCTGGAAAATATCAGAAAAGAGAGATACTGTATGATTTACTTCAAAAAAAAAATTGTTTTGCACAGACAAAAAAATTTTTTCATCTCCACTCTATTATGTACTTTAAATGTTCTCTCACTTGAAAAGATCTACAAGATCCTCATTTTGAAGGATTTTCTTGGCTTGTTCATCCCTAGCAGGGGCACAGAGCTTGCTAAGTATACCAACTACAAACTGTGCCAGCCTTGAAATATCCAGAATACCATGACTAGCCTGCTGTTTTATTAGATCCAGGTCAAGAACTTCATTTATCTGTGCTCTTAGTGAATTGTGATGAGGAAGAAGAAGTGACAGCATATTCTGCAAAAACAAGGGAAAGAAGAAACTTCAATAAGTGCATTATTTTCAACGTTACCATGACTTTTGGCATAATTTCATATGCTTGTCATTTCCTGATAAGCTAAACAGAAACTGTGATCAATAATGAAAGTTAATAAAGTTCCATCAGTATCTCTGGAAATTTTGGTTCCAATATATACCAGTCCAGATAATGGCTCAGTCAATTCCAAGCGTGCCCATCCCCCTCAGGCATTTGTCATTTTTGGGGGGTGAAAGCTGCAAAAACCCCTTGGTGGGGCTGGGCGGTTCATACTAAAACCCCACAGTGGGGCTTGAAAAATTGTGCAAATGCCCCACCCTGTGACAACACAAAAATTGCCTTTTCCACCCTGTAAATATAGCTGCAAATGCTATAACAGTACTTTCAAAACTGTTTACTTTACAATTACAAATTCATACCACTGTTGGAAATTCTTAACAAAGATTGAACTAGCTATGCGTTGTCTTTGGAGAATGAACTCTTTGTTACTTAGTCAGTTATATTGATTGCGAGAGCAGGGAATTTACTCCTTAACTTAAAACATTCTTTTCTGCTAATTTTAACATAACTGTTGCAGTCTCCCTTAAATAATTACAGATGACTCTCCGTTTGGCTTTCCTACAAAGCTATATACATCCATATATTGCATCTTTATGATGTTTTGTGATGTGAATGACATCCTCTTTTCCTGTTGTTGTGTGTGACTTTGAGTAGGTGATCCTGCCAGAGTGAACCAATGAGCAAGAGGCATCTTTTGACAAAGATTAAATTAGTGAAATATTGAAAATGGAACGATGTTAACTGCTTCTAGAAGAATTGACATTATATCCTACCCCCGGGAAGAGGTTTTCTGACAAATTGCCCACTGCTGGGATTGACAAGATGACAAAAGCCTGGGGCCATGGGCACACTTGGAATTGACTGTGCCATAAACTTTTGAAGACATTCTGTTTAAATACACAGCTGAAAAGAGCACCTTAACATCATTAAACCTGCAAGGTTTGAAAGTAATACTTCTAAAGTGAGCAAAGATAATTATAGCTCTACAAAGTCACAAAATTTTACAGAGATATGCGTGGTGGCTGAGACAGGTTGGTACCCCTCACCATATAAGCATCTGTAAAATTTTGTAACTCTGCTAAGCTATAATATCTTCATTCTTTCTCAACAAATCGTTCTCAAACTTGGTCATATTATTATTTTTCAGGCTCTCTTTTCAGCAGTGTTCATGGATTTTCACTACCTGGTCCATGTCAAAATTTGGAAAACAACGTTGAAGGGTCTATTCCCAGAGAATTTAAAATTAATTTGTAAAGAAACAATAACATTATCTGAATATTCATTGACACTCTTGCAAATGACATATATGGTTTTGATACAACAGGATCAGCTATAATTACCTCTTTAACTTCCTCAATTAAAGACATTGCTTGGCTAAAGACTGGTGGCTCCTGATTAAGCTCTTCACGAAGCTTATCCCAAAATGCTTTATGAACAACATCCCTGACTTGCTTTTCGAGCCTGTAATAATAATATTGACATGAAGTGATCACAAACACAGAGCAGTATCTGCATA